GACCGAGTCTTCGCCACCTTGTTGATTAATCAGTCGTCCCATATTTCCCTTGTATTAATCTTACCGCTGGCACTTAGCCAATCCATGACACTAACCCTAGTAATGATATATATCATGAATACAACTTCGGTCAATCCCTACACCTAACATTGACCTGGTTTAATCCTACTCACTTTTTCAACTCTGCCTCCGCCCATAGCTCTTTACTTAACCCCAACGCCAACCCAACCGGATATTTATGTGAATTCACCTTCCGACGCTACAGCAGTCATCGTCATTGGCGTGAACCGAGCCCGACTGAGCACAACGACATTTACTGCGCTCCAACTGGGACTATTTTGACGTAGATACCACCTCCCAGTTACCCTCTCTGAGGTTGCCGCTGGAACCGTACGTACCAAATTTCTTTCTGCGTCTCTGGAAATTTTTCCGCAAGTGACAATTTATGAGAAGTCCATCTCTAAGCGGGATTTGTTTTTCCTCAAAATCCAACGGACTACGGAGTCTATTCGCGCGCAAATATCGGCTTAGGAAAACAAAATCGTTGACACCCAGGAAGATCGGGATTTATTCAGGGTCTTCGATATTCTCAAAACGGCTGAGTTGCTTCTACATATATTTCATATCGTTCATATTTTTTCTCTACGGAGACTTTAAAAAATAGACGTGTTTTCGACCATTCCGTTTTGTATATTTGCCATAGTCCATCGTATACGGTCGTAATTGCCAGTTTGAAGCTCGAAAACGAATATTTACTTCGAACGCAAGAATTTTATGGACACAGAGCAACGTTTTGGTAGTTCCAAGAACCGGACCGGTATTATGCATGAAGGAAAGTCTACTGATATGGCCTTGCCTCCCAGGATTAGCGCTCGCTCTCTTTATAGTTGCAACCAAGTGCCTGCAAAGCGCGCTAAAAGCGTAATCACAGCAAAACCTTTTAGTTACGAGGACGAGTCGTGCATTGGGTGCTCCTATATTCTTCTGAAAGTCCAAAAACTCGAAAAAGAGCTAGCTGCTTTAAGGGAACTCGTGCAAGCGAACGATGGTAGGCAAAACGCGGTTAACAGCGTTAGAGTTAGCAAGAAAAAGGCGAAGAGCAAAGCTCCAAAACAGCCAAAGAACAAAGTTTGTGGGAAACCTCAGTGGAAGTACGCCAATACCCTTGACGATGGGAAAATAGCAACGGAGTCTCCTGTTGCTATGGAAGACAACCGAAGCGAACCATCAACTTCTCTTAGCCATTCCGCCTGTTCAGTAGAAACCTCGGTTGGAAGTGAGGAAACTAGCTCGTGGCAAGATGGAATGGGTAAGCACCACAACATAAGTATAAAACCCCAGACGATTCCGGTAGATACCCTGAGACCTTCAGCTAACATGACGGCCGGAAACAGAACAAATGAACCCATGGATCGTCATCACTGCGTATTCGTCCAGGGCCTATCGGAGTCGAATGCTCCTACCCCGAAGGAGAGGATTTCCGCTGACCTAGATATGCTTCAACACCTACTGAACAAGATGCTAGATTCAAATGAAAAGGTAACCATTCGCGAAGCCTTCAGGATCGGAAAGAAGGTGAGCGAACAATAGGAAACTATGTGGCCACGACTTTTGAAAATTGTTTTGGGCAGTAAACCGGAGGCTAGTTTACTTCTGTCCAGGAAAAGCAGCCTCCGAACCTCTTACAAGAAAGTTTTTTTTTCAGCCGGACTATTCTCATGCGGAACGTTTGAAACGCCGCGAATTAGTGATGGAACTGAAGAGGAGACTTGCAGCAGGAGAGAGCAACTTGGCTATTTTCAGGGAACGAATGATACAGAGGAATGCTATGTTGCTTCGGAACCAGCCAGTCATCATGATGGCGGCAGCAACACAGTATTGGCAAGCTTAAGACAAACCAAACCAAGTACTGTCTAATGTTACAAACTTAAATTCTTTTACACCAATGCTCAGAGTCTGTTTTCCAAGCTTGGCGAACTGAGAATACAGGTAGCCGATACTCCTCCCGATGTTATAGCAATAACAGAAGCGAGGCTGTCAGAGAACGTAGGTGATTGCGAGGTCGCACTAACATGATACCAATTGTTTAGGAGAGATAAGAGAGGCCGACGGGGTGGAGGAGTTGCCATGTATGTCAAAAGCAATTTAACAGGGTGTGAGAGGACCGACAAGATTTCCGACGACATAGAGGCAAGTTGGCTGACTATAAAGGCACAGGGGTGTCAGTCCCTCGAAGTCGTAACTATCTACCGGCCCCGCAGGCGGATCCCGACTCAGATATTTGTCTACTGGAAACCATAAAAGAGATCGCCAGTCGACCAGGCGTTGTTCTCGTGGGGGATTTTAATGCATCCTGCACTCAATGGAGCGATATGCATGCGAAGTGCTCGAAGAATGCCTTCAATTACCGTCTACTAAAGACAACCCTAGAAGTTCCTCTCACGCAACGTGTCCTATCTCCAACTAGAGCACGCGGAAGGCAACAGGCTAGTTGTCTGGACCTCGTTTTCACCAAAGATCCTGACAATATAGACGAGGTGAAATACCTGCACCCACTCAGTTGCAGTGATCATTCAGTACTTTTATGGGAGTACGAGCTGTATTCTGAACGGTATACAAAAGACGATTCCAGGCCGAATATATGGAAAAGGGACTTTTGCCAAACGAGAGCGGAGGCATCACAAATAGACTGGGATGTTCTCTTCTCCGGAAACGTTAACGAGGACTGGAATTTATTCAAGGATCGGTTACTGCATCTACTGAAAAGCCACTGTCCCGTATTAAAGCCTAGGGCATCCAACCGCCTTCAGTGGCTAACACGAGAACTCAAAAAGGAGATCAACGAGAAAGAAAGGTTATGGAAGAAATTTCGGGAAAACAACAACATTGCAGCGTTTACAGCATATAAAGTTCAAAGAAATAGGGTGAAAAGCCTGATTTTCAAGAGGCGAAGGGATTTCGAAGGTAATTTACTTCATCCAGCGGTTAAAAATCCGAAATTGCTCTACAGCTATTTTCGGAGAAGTGCGCGTAACAGTAATCCCATTCCCGTCATGGGAATTGATGACGGTGTGGAGATATCGGACAGTACAAATAAAGCCGAGCATTTTTCTCAATTTTTCCAATTTGTTTTAACTAGAGAAGCGGACTTTATTCCAACTAGTCCCGAGAACATGGGAGATCTGACTATCGAAGATATGGTGTTTCCAGAAGAAGCGATTTTAGAAGAACTGGACGAGATCCCAGCGAAGCCGCTCTTCGAGCTTGCCCAAAAGCTGGCCAAGCCACTATCCTTTCTGTGCCGGAAATCATTGGATGCTGGAATTCTTCCCACAGACCGGAAGACGGCCAACATTACACCCCTTTACAAAAGCGGTAGTCGTGCTCTTGCGACGAACTACAGACCCGTCAGTCTGACATAAATCTGCTGCAAAGTGATGAAGAAAACCATCAAAAAGGAGTTGATGGCTTACTTGGAAACCGACAACCTCTTGTCCAATACAAAATGTGGTGTCCGTAGGGGAAGATCATGCGTAACGAACATGTTATATACAATGCTAAGTTGGACCAGAGCACTGGACGCAAAACATACTGTGCATGTGGTCTATATTGATTTCCGGAAGGCGTTCGACAGTGTTCCGCACCAGCGTCAACCATACAAGTTGAGAATAATGGGCATCAGCGTCAAACTTCTCAAATGGATCGAGAATTTCCTCGTCGGCCACTCCCAAATTGTCTGCGTAGAAAGACAGCAATCAAGACGCACATTCATAGAGAGTGAAGTCCCACAAGGCTCGGTGCTCGGACCAACCCTCTTTATCTTATTCATCAATGATTGTGTAGACGGGTTGGACTGTGATAGTGCCATGTTTGCAGATGACATAAAAATCTGGAAAGTCATCCAGAATGCTGCCGATGAGACCAACTTCCAAGAAAATATTTGTCGATTGGACGAGTGGTCCCGCAGATGGCTCTTGTCCTTCAATTTGAACAAATGGTCTATACTGCGTTTCGGAAACCAGACCCCTAGTACGCGGCAATACCATCTGAACGGAATGCCACTTCAAGAAGTAGAAACGCAGAAAGATCTCGGAGTCTGGGTTGCAGACAGCCTATGGCCTTTTACACAATGTTGTAAGGCGGCCAATGCCGCAACTTTAATGCTATATTCCACCGAGCGAACATTCTCACTTTTTGATGAAGACTGCTTCTTCGGCACGTTTGCAAGGCCGCATCTCGAGTATGCAATTCAGGCCTGGAGACCGTCGACGCATCAGGATTATAATGTGCTCGAAAGGGTGCAGAGGCGGGCAACAAAATTAATAAGAGGTCAAAGTGCACTGTCATACGGGGTCCACTTAACTAACCTTCATCTCTATCCTCTGAGTTAAAGGCAGTTGCGCGGGGACTTAATACACACTTTCCGTTTCGTGCGTGGCTTGTACTGCGCCCTTCGGTGAGATGAATTTTTCCAATTTGCCACATCAACTAAACTCCGGGGACATCCCCTCAAGCTTCGTGTGCCCCAGGGTAGATTCAATGTGAGAAAATAGTTCTTTTCCAACCGTGTCGTGGAACCGTGGAATAACCTTCCCGAGACGGTTGTCATGTCTCAATCTGTGGCGACATTTAAATGTCGGCTTGACAGACATATACTGCAGCAACAAACGGTCTATGTGACTTTTTGGCTATGAGAACAGTGACATATGTGAATCAATGTCTGCATTCACATAATGCTGTTATTTTTTCACATTTTGCTTATTTATCGATTTTTATGTACATATAGGGAGTTCAAATGCGTAAGCCTATTTCCCTCAAATACACTGATTGACTGGACCGGAAATATTCTGAAAAGACGCTCGGAAATAACTAACCAATCAGCGGACAAGCTGCAAGGGCCAATAGGGGACGCCTCGCTGCCGGCGCCCCATAAGGTTTCGCCCAGGGATAGGACTGACTGTTCATCGCTATCTATCGGCTTCATATGGTCATTCGGAGGAATGTCGACTACAGCCCCGTCTCTTATGTTTGTTGGAATCAAACAGGTAGCCCACTTTTGTTACACCATTGTCGTCTCTTAACTTTGGAGTTACATTTATTAAAATTTCATCTCCCTGTTGTGCAGACGTATTTTAAGCATATATTATTATTATTATCATTTTTTGAATATTCTCCCTTTCTCAGGACGAAGTGGCTGTCAAAGAGACACTCACGCCGAGACACCACAAGGTAATATTACTAGTATTTGTTGTGTCTATATTGTCTTTAGGTTAACGAGTCAGTTCGACCGAATCGACTTGTAAGATTTACTTGGCCCTTACCAGGGTTGGTTTTATCAATAGTACCAGTTTCACCGACCCCCTCCTCAGCGCGAATCTGGATCCAATGAAAGTGACTGTGCAAACAACAGCGATGACTCGCAACCATTACACGCTCCAGCATCACCAGTTTTGTATAATGAGGCCAAGCCTCAAAGCCTGTTGCCCTTGGCTACATCAAGTGTGCTAAAAGGCGAGTTAAATGCGGCAAACGGCGCATCTACCTCCGTCGATGCACATAGTACTGAAGTGCTTACAGAGGCAGGAATCTCAGGTTTGTCTGTCATCTTTTATGGCGTAACCCTTTGACAGAAACTCAATATGTCAAGTGCGAGCCAGAAGATCCTTCTTGCAAGGAACGCACCGACGACTTTGAAGGCGGTCGTCGTCCGTGTAAGCGATTACTTATCGCCTGTATTATGATCTTTTTCTGGCTGATTTCACCTGATTGTTCTGTCAAGACCCAAAGCATCCTGCAGTGCATGATTACCTAAACTGATACACTGTGTGTATGTTGCGATGACGGGGAAGGTATCCTCTTAGTCCTCTTTGAGTATTTCCTAAACCGGCTGTGCCGAGCTGCTGTCGGGCTGTTGACTGACGGCAGAGCCGTAAGAGGTCGTGCGTTTCGGTCTCAAAACTAAGGGGAGGGACCTGCTTGCGAATTGTCTACTTTCCTTGTGGTTGCAGAATTCTGCAAACCGGTCCTTATGACGAAACCTTCAAAATGATTGCGATTCCAGTACAGCCAGACATTGCATATGCTTTCGCAAGGGAGACTCCATATACCACTCACCGATTTTCCCAGCATACCTATATTTCTTAGAACTGACGTTCAGGCCGAAGAGGCTTTGGTTCCCTGAGGTCGAATACCGTGCTAATAATGCCTCATGTATCTTGCATAATCTTTTTGCACTTTAAAATTTCATCTACTCACGAATTTACTACTCCACATGTGTGTTGGGCTCAAGTGGACAAAGTGCTGATCCCAATTCAAATGGGAAGTCCCTACGGTTGTCTGAAAAGTACGGCGTTGTCTGCTGACTAGAACTATCCATCGATTTCCTTTTCCATTTCGAACGCAGGGCTTTTATTTCGCCGATGAGGGATACTCGTGATAGGGCCTTTGAAGGGACTACTTCATAGCTGCTTAACTCTCCACCACTGGCTTCTGCCGCTTGTACGAAGGTCTTCTCTAGTCTCCATAGTGGTTGCCCTCCCAACGCGTTTTCTGTTGTTGAGGAGTTGGCTCCGTACTGTAGGTAGGTAGCGTGCCACGCTGCTGCTGCGTCGATGGCATTGGCAGCGGAGCCCTCTTCTTATCGAATGCCTTGATGTAAGCTTACATGTCTTATTTCCCCGCCCATCGTCAGAATACGATTGTCCATCTGTTTTTGCCCTGTTTCCTTTCCAGCTCTACGAAAGCATACGTGCGAGTTTTGTGGCAAGGCTTTTTCTCGAAGCAGCCTACTGAAGCGTCATGTCGATGGTGTCCACAAAAGTAAGCGCCTTTTCCCTCACTGGTTGACTGTTTCTCTTCAAAGTCTATTCCCTCATTTAATGTCGCATTGGCTTCCCCGCGACGTTTGCTTACTTCGTTTTTTCATTTGTGACTGTACTGCGTACATAGTACCTTCTCCTCGAAATTTCAGCGCCGATACAGGTTTTTAAGAATACTAGTCCTGTGCTTGCGCAGTAAATGGTGGTAGGATTCATGTGGATACGTTTTTCGTTTTATGACACCAGCATAGAGGACTTGGGCGTTTGCGATCGTGTACTGATCGTTGAAGCCATGGTGGTCAAAGCATTTTAGTCGTCGTGCATTTGCCTATTACTGTTCCTGTTGTTGAATTCTCTCCCTGCGGGCCGTGCTATGAGCTCTCAAGCATATGTGGCTGTTTTTCAAGAAGCCTGTGGCGTGTTTTTCTCTCGAAGGGAGTTCCGAAGACATATGTTGACATAATCGGCAAATTTCGCGCTATTTGTTCCATAGACCTACCGTTTCCGATCCTCAACGTATTCAGAAACGCGCTGTCTGCGCTTGTCTTTGAGATCCTTCGAGTTGCTATCCTGTGAATTAGCGTAATAGTAGATTACATGTATCACCGCTCGTGTTTGTTGGCGACAGCCTTAAACACACGTCAGTTTCTAAACATGATGATATGCCCTCGTCATCTATGCCGTTCCACTTTTGCAGTGGAGCCAAGTGAAGGTAGACCGAACGCTTCTCACAGCCCAATTACCAGTAACCTTTTCCCTCAATGATTTCGGGTGTTATGGCGCTTATCCACGGATACGACTAGTATTTTGTGGAGCAGACTTGGTGCCGCAGAGTTGGCGTCTTAGAAATGCCATTTTTATTATATGACCTGCAGCTGGCGCCTAAGCCAGGTACACAGGCTTCCTATGCCTTGCCTCACATCACGTTACATCGCGGCACACATAGTCGTTCTGCTGACATCCCTTCTTTGTCGTAAGCAGATGTCCTCTGTCTTCTCCCCACATCCCTTGTCACTGACCTACCATGTACTAGTAAGCCTCTTATGCTGATAGCCGCATCCTGTAACCGTTAAAGGGATTTTGATGTTCAGAAGCTTGCCATTTTTTTGCCAACGTAAGCATTCGAATAGCCAAGTCAACAAACACGCATTTTCAATTTTTGATTATCAGAGCATGCAGTTGTAGCTCGTTTGGTTGACAGCGACCATCGAGTCATTCAGAAAATACGGGCCAGACACACCAACTTCTGATGTAAGCCGATTTTTCTGCAAACAATGACGAAAGCCATACGATTAGCCAATCTCTCTTAGCTCGGCCGACGACATTTATTTGAGCCCTTAAACCACCTTCTCCCACTTTTTAAAGATGATGCATTCCTGCTCTCATCTAATCACATTCCCCTGCAACAGTTGAACACAAAGTTGTTCTGCCGACACCCTTCCTTTGCCACCGGAACTCAGAAATAGATATCCATCCTACCCCTGCTAGTCATGAGCAGGTACCCTCTATTCTCACCTCCATCAGCTCCATTACTGGCTTTTTTCGTCCCCTGACTGCACTACCGCGGCGTGCATTGTACAAGCCTGAAGCTGAATGTGCGTTTGTCTGCGAGTTTGACATTCGCGTGATTGAGGTGTAGGTAGACAGTTTCCTTCTATTGATGGGTAGCTCCCTCCCCTTTCGAAGAATACAGTGATTATCATTTTGATGATTTGTATACAACGTCAAGATGAGTTTTAGGACTTCAATTAATTTCATCTCTAAAAAATTGAGCCCCGATGCATGTTGTTATTGCTTAATTTTGGCTTCCCACTCAAGGGTCTATGGTTTGTTGTTGACTTCCAATGCGTCTTTTCATGATATCGATTTCGCTTGAGGAAGGTATTGGACCACTTATTCTTCGAAGATATTGACTAGTTAGAGGAATGTCAGTAATCTTCACAACACAGTAGTCGTTTGAAATAGTGGTCTCGGAGCTCGTATGCGCTGGAGTGCCCTAGAAGCTACTTTGAGAAGGAGTCATTGAGCCTGGCTTAGTTAGCCATGCTGTCATTCCACGCAGACTGACTGCGGAGTCCGATACCGCCAGTTGGCAACCTTCCAGACTAAGACGTTTAGCACGTCGTGGTAGATTCCAGCACGTCACATTTATTGTAGTGAGAAATGCAGTGGGAATGGAGTCCCCGGAGTCGGTCGCAATCTCTCTCCCCCTTCCGAGCCTGCCACTGCACAGAGTTACTTACAGAGCTGCGATAGGTCCGTCTTCATTCGCCACACACGACCTGGTTGTCCACCAGATTGCACCAAAAATGCTCCTTAGTGACTTAAGAGTTGCGCATTCTTTACGTGTGGTAGGACAGGTTTGTATGTGGTGTTTTGGCTGGTAGAGCTGGGATAAGGAAGAGATAGTGAGGTCGATCCAGCCCACATTCCTGACTATAAACAATCTGACGCGCTTGAATCTACCACGGTGCGCTAAAAGCCATGCTTTGGAACGTTACAAATTGAGGAGATAGTCCGGCCTTCCTCTCAGTGGCTCCTTTTTAATGTCACCTTTATGGCACTCCCACTCAGTTAAGGTTCTAGCCTCCCCACTTGTTGTGTGAAATTACGATCCTCTGTGTGCGGACAAGAGGATGTGGTGACACGTCTGGGCACAAGCTCACGCCGAGCCGACCGCCTGCGCCTAATCACCCCCCAGTCTTCTTCACTATGTCTTAACACCAGACCCAACTGGGTGAGGAGGGAGTGTGGTAGATGTATCGAGGTCTGCCATCACTACAAACTAATTCGCACCCAGGCCAGCGCCCCTCCACCTGCAATGTTGTTTGACATATGGTGGGCATCGCCGAAAGCGATGTCCGGGCCGTCGGTAGCGGGTTGTTAACGGAGTCCGAACAGCGGTGTTTTACCGCAGATATTCATGGAGGACAGTATGGCCGAATAGACCCCCAACGGTGACTGAATGGCCGTGGGCAGTTAGGTCTGGTGCTGCGGGCGTATCTTGGCGCCACTGGAACCGGTTCGCTTGCCTCATTGCAATGAATTCACTGGTGACCGGCCAGCCCGATGCGTGATGTGAAAGTGCGATCTCAGTGGGGGCCGGTTGAGATCGTGTCCGCATTGTGGGTGCCTGGACGGCCGTGGTAGATTGCTAGAAGTTGTAGTGGGTGTCACTGCGTTGACAGTGTTCTCACTGGTGGTGGTGGTGGTCCCCGTCTGCGCAGAGTTTTTAGTACCGTAGATTGTGATGAACGGGGGAGGGGAGGGGGCGTCGTATGGGTTTCATGATGGAGGTGGAACTGGAGGCGATTTGGGTGTGCAGTGTGGGCAGTAAATTGGATCCGAAGATGTTCGACACAAAAACGTCCGTTGGCACCGTGGAAGGGATTGGGCGTTGGAATTGTTGGTCTGCTCTTTTGATTTTGGCAGTGTCTGTCCGACTGGCTTTGTGGATTGTTGCTTCCGTCTTCACTGCTGGCATCCACGCTAGTCGTCCTTGGCGAGGTCCTCTCAGGTCTCCGGGTTGATTTGAGGGAAAATTTTCAATGTCACTATGCTATCAGTCCCATCCTCCATGTCGGGGGCATCCGTGACGACGTCGTCTTGGAATAGCTGCCTGTGTAGACGTTCGCAATCTATTCTGCTGATGTGTTCACACCATCATAGTTGGATTCACCTTAGCATGGAGTGGACGCTGAGGATTCCGGTTCGTTCCAGGACATCTGTGTCTTGCCACCTCAGCTTCAGTCTTTTCCTGGGACAGCTAGGGTGAAAGCACTTGGGTTTTCTGACTCGATTGGCGTAGACAGCCCTGATGTCTGCCCCGCGAGTAGTCTGGATAGTACTACTGCCGGGTAAATTTTGAGTTTCATGTCCACTTGAAGTCTACGGCAATCCTTAATGCATTCCTGTAAACAATTGAAAGCCCGACTGACATTTGACATCCTATGGGCCACTTTCTGAAAGTCGCGCCTCCGAGGTATTCAAATTTATCCGCTGATGCAAGTTGGGTTCCACTAATTTTGATTGCAGTCCGCGTTGGCGCCGTATAGGGCATTACCACCGTCATCTCCGTGTTGATGGTTAGTTCGAAGTTAAAGTAACCGGAAGAGAAGTGGTCCAAACTCCGCTGTTGTGGCGTTTAGCGCACAGTCATCCACGAACAATAGGTAGTGGACGATGGGCCTGGATACCCCCGAAGAAGCTTTCAGGCGACGAATGTTGAACTGTTTTCCATCGGTTCCGTAGTTGACGTTGATTTCCCACTACTCCTAACGGTCGTCATCCATCAACACGGCAGATAATATGAGACTCAATAGGATGAGTGCGACTACGCAGCCCCGCTTCATTCCATTAATCACCGTGAACACTTAAGGGCTTGCTCCGTTGTCCATGGCGCGAACCATCGTCCCATCATGGAATTGTCTTCTGTGTGATTAAACTTCCCAGTTCATTCAAACTTCAGCATTATTTTCCGGAGTTCACCACGGTTGTCTGTGCCAAAGACCTTTTCCAAATCCATAAAGATGGTGCACAGGTTAATCCGAATTTTCTGACACCTCTCCTGTAGTAGACGGGCCGTGAAGATCATGTCTGTGATTCCGCGGTGGTTTCGGAGTCCGCATTGTGTTTCTGTAAGAGTCCCCTTCTCCATATGCACGTTCAGGCGATCAAGTAGAATGCGGCGGAGATTTTCTCCTGAGATGCTGAGAAGGGAGGTTACCCTATGTTTGTCACATGGTTTCCGGTTCTCATGGCATTCGTAAATGTGTACGATGGTGCCATCACTAAAGTCTTGGGAGTCGTGTCTTTGTCACCATATCAGAAATAGCTGGGTAGGTTTTTCCATGAATTATGGATCGTCCTACCCATGGACGTCAGGCGGAATTTCATCTGACACTTGTTGTACTGTTCTGATTATGTCAAGCGGAGGGGTCGAACAATCGAAGTCGTTGTTGTTGGTGTCCATATGAGGAAGTCTGTTGATGACATCTTTACAAATTGCTGACAGGTTATTGGGGACACGATAGTTCGACCGTCGCATCCGACGATGTCCACCGTATGCCCCACAGCAGATGGTGGGAGCAGGGACTGCGACTTGCGCGGGCGTTTATAGTGCCAGTAGACTTGCGCTGCATCTACCACACTCTCTTCTCCTTCCCCGCCTAAGCCCGGTGTCAAGAAAACCGGAGACGAGGGAGTCCGCAGGTGGATGGCTCGGAGGGGTCCTCACCTTGGCGCTCCACTCCGCACCCCCTGGTCCACACAACAAATGACCAGGATTTCAACCAACACAACAGAACTTGGAGGCTGGCACGGCCGAAGCCGCACCTAGGCGTGCCGCCGACGCCTGACTCGGATCTCACACAGTGGGAGTGCCATAAAGGCCACATTAAGAAGGAGCCACTGCAGCCTAACTCAGACCTCCAGTCAAGGAGGTCCAAGTTATCCCGTCAGTTGGCAACCTTCCAAGCCACGGCTTTTAGCGCACCGTGATAGCTTCAAGCGCGTCAGATTGTTTATAGTGAGGAAAGTGCGCTGAGTCGTCGACCTCACTCTACCTTCCCACTCCCACACCCCAGCCGCTGTCCGAGCCGGTCAGCAGACTGGAATGGGGAATGGGCGCGGTGGCTGGCACGATCGACTGACCATGCCTGCGTGCGCCACGTACACGATCTGGCCCCCCAGACACACGACAGTTCGTCCGTCGATTTCGACGATGACCACCGTGTGCCCCACAGACTACATTGTGGGAGCAGGGACGGTGACTTACGCAGGGGTTTATAGTGCCAGTAAACTTGCGTAGCATCTACCTACACTCTCTCCTCCTCCCCCGCCTGGGTCCGGTGTCAAGACAGAGTCAAGAAGACCGGAGACGGGGGAGGCCGCAGGTGGATGGCTCGGACGGATCCTCACCTTGGCGTTCCACCACACCCCCTGGTCCACACAACAATAACCAGGATTTCAACCAACACAACAGAGATTTGGAGGCTGGCACGGCCGAAGCCGCACCTGGGCGTGCCGCCAACGCCTGGCTCGGATCCCACACTGTGGCGCTTGAAGCTATCACGGTGCGCTAAAAGCCGTGGCTTGGAAGGTTGCCAACTGACGGGGTACCTTGGACCTCCTCCTTAACGGGAGGCGGTCTGAGAGTCAGGCTGCAATGGCTCCTTTTTAATGTGGCCCCCAGACACACACACACACACACACACACACACACACACACACACACCAGGATTTCACTCAACGGGGGTTGAACGGCATGTCTCTCACTTGCGTAAGAGGGCCGTTGAAGGTGCTGTTTCAGCCCATCTCCCAGCCCACCAGTCCACCACTCCACACAACACACACACAACGGGACGGACTGCGTGGACCAAGTGGGGGCGTCAATCAGCAGCCTTCCTATCCACGTGATGCATAAGTCCCTGATCCACTGTGGATATTAGGGACACAGTGGATCAGGGACTTCTGCATCAGGAGGGTTGCTCCATCCTGGCTAGCGACCACTTTTATAGTACGCATCAACAGGACGGTAGTCAAAGCTAACCCTGGGCAGCCAACCGACTGTCCGTCAGTGTGAAACCTTTATTGGTGTCAGCTCGATCAGCTCCTTCCTGAGGTGTCTGCTGTCTCGACCGATTGTCTGGTTGATCGCATCGCCGGTATCTGAATTTCATCTACCTCGGCAGTCTCATAAAGCTCGGCGGATAGGCCGGCCGAGTACCGAGTGGTTGGACGAGATTGGGCGCAGTGGCTGACGCGCCGTGGAGTCCTGCATCTGGGTGTGCCACCCTTCCCTCCCCCCCATGTGCGGTAGTGGTAGCGGTAATGGGCTCTCGCAGACTCTGTGCAACCTGATTAACGTGTGTCGGTCATGTGCCTGGGGTTTTGTCCCGCGCGGCTCGACGTGGGAGCCAAGGACGACGCACGCGACGACACACTGAGCGAAATAATCCACGGGGAATTTTATAAGATAAGCCCAGAAACCTGTGATATACAGAATTGAGACTATGCACATATGCATCTGTGCCTAAGCGGCTGACAAGGGAGTTCAGCCGCCCGGGACAACTTTTTTGCGGCGTGATTTTACTCTCCCCCGAAATTACTGCCTGCTGTCTACGGGAACACACATCTTCCGGAGGTCTGGACCGCGATCCCCACAGCCTCAGCACACCTTAGTCTGCACTCCGGCTCATCTGTACATGCTGAAGTCGATCCAGGACATATATCACCAATTCAACTAAACCAAAGTCTCTTTTTTTCTTGATTTCAGCTCTGCGCCCCTTTGCCTGCGAAATTTGCGGCAGAAACTTCGCGGAGATGGGACATTTAAGGAGGCATATCAATAGTCTTCACAAAAGTACGCTTCTTTTCGCCAAGCGGTCTCCTCCTCCAGTTGATTTAGAAATGCCGTTTTTGTCCTAGTTCTTGAAAGCCTTTTGTTCATTACGTTGCGTTCGGGGGGGATGCATTTTTTACTTTGATTTCCCACAAAAGGATTCACTCGGGCCTATGCATGGGGCGGATAGATGTCCTGGTCTTGTTGGTGAGAGGGCACAGGTTTTCGTGATAGGAAGCACCTACTTGGCCGGGTGTGCCTCTTTCGGGACGAGTATTATCCACATGACTGGATAGCAAATTGCAGCTATTTCACCACAAAGAGGATGATGCTGAAACCTAGTAGAGGCCAATGCGTGATGCAGTCTATGCGACCGGCGTAGAGCTCTTTAGATCATCGTGACGACTATCTGGGGATTCGTTCGACCAGTGGATTCGTTGTCCTCTGTCCGCGGAGGAAAAACTGTCCTTGTATGTCAACTGAACCCCATTACGAAAGCCGTTTGCGGATTTGAAAGGAGTTTACGCGAAATGTACGTGAGACTCATCTTTGCGTTAGCTCAGGTCTGATGGCACAACGATGCTCTTAGAGAAATCTATGACCCTGCACGGCCTGATCGAACGCATCCGGCGCATCTTTGCCAACATATTTTCAGTCAACAAGTGCGCAGTTGACGAATAAATTCTACGTTCAAATGACGTTAAGAAGTTTGGCGTACCTAAGTCCTGCAATCGGCTGGGGTTCGTGACATCGTCGCGATGCTGAGACGCATTCAGCTTCGATCGGACGTCACATCGTGTATCTGACAGACGAGTGTCCTCCAAGTGGGCTACTAAGTGAACAGGTTGTTGCCGTGACCAGCGGACGGGGAGATAAGCAACGGTGATTTGAGGACACCCTGAAGCCTTTCTCTTGGAATAAGCCTGGACCTCCTGAAAATATTTTGCGTCCAATTGTCCGGCGTTTGCGACTGTCGTAAAACACGGAATAGCAATCATTAAAGCCAATCACAAACGGCGAAAATTACAACTCAAGATGGGTATACTGATGAGTAACGCCACCACACTCCAGCACCATATTTAATGTATTCGGTGCCAACACGCAATCAGAACTATCATTTGACAGCGACACCAACTTGAGGAACACTGCGCCATTAGTCACTCAAATACAGATCCACCACACAGGAAATCACTTTCCCCCGCTGCGATTGCAGCTTCTTTAGCATGAGCTACCTTGAAAGGACGTTTGACGCAGCAAATGCGAGGCCTTTGTCCACGAATGCTTCCCCCAATCGGCTGTTTCAACGGATTCGCACTTTGCTTTACCATGACACTGTGGTCCGCCCCATCTGTTTGAATTCCAACTTGATCATCCACTCTGCCAAGTAGCAACCCCATCCAAAACTGTCCATCGTAGGCCAGCTGCCATTGTGTCTATCCACGCAGAAACTAAATTGCAAACGCAACTTGGCGGTGATATCCAGCGTCAGTCGCAGCAGAGTGCTGGGCCTCTGCATGGTGCCCCCTGTCGCAGGTCGCATTATTCGGTGACGCTTTTTTCCTTCTCCGGCCTGCCAGTCGGTCTGCATCGACGTTGGACGGCTGTGGAGACTTTTTACGTCTCGAGTTTTGCTGCGACCGTAGTTTAGGTAAAGGTGTTTTTTGTCAGGGTTTTTTTTCAGTGGCTTAATGGTAAGGCTTAATTTCATTATTAAAAGAGCAGGGTTGTTCCAGAAGAGATTGTCTCAGTTTTTTTTCAATCGAATGACCCCTTTTTCGATCCTTGTTTTAGAGCTACGAGAATTTGTTTGTGAGATTTGTGGCAAAGCCTTTACACAGAAAGCAACGATGAATAAGCATATTGACAGTATTCACAAAGGTGCGTTCCTTCCCCTTGGTTTTTATAATAAGTTTGCTTTGAATACAGTCACGACATCCACTCGACGATTTGCCACGGTGTCTTTTACTCTTTGAATACTTATGCCACTGGAGTATTTATTTCAGCCGTCTTGCATTCGCTGCCATTTCTCGCACTGTTGAAGTAAACAGGGTCTTTAGGATTGTGTGCCATACGCTGTCACCTTTCTGTTCTATCTCCTCTTTCCACGCCAGCCCTGGCAGGAGTCACGTCCCCCTTGACTTTACGCATGTTTACGTCACTCCATGCGCAAGAACGGCCCTACACTAGTTCGCTATCTCGCCCAGCGCAGGCGATGAGAACGCATATCCTAAGGACACAGCGGTGACCTGCGTACGAATTGATTCATCACGATGTGGTCGACTTGCACAGCACTCGCCTCACTCATTCCCACTGCCTTCGCATGACAAGACGAAGTCTCAGTGACTGAAGATGGACAGGACACGATTGCTGACGAGTCTGACGCCGCACCCGCACGTATCCGTACGTTTTAGCACCCAACTTCGCAGTCCAGTGTGGCCACACTTTTAGGGGAGGGGGGGGGGCATTGCGGCATGATTCGGGCTTGAAAGAAGGCCAAGTTGCTCCGTCAGTTGGCATCCTTTCACCCCACGACTAACAATTGGTTGTGATCTCTCAAAAACATTTGGTAATTTATGTGGGGGAGGGGGGAGCGCGGAAACTAAGCGTGATGGTAAGACCGGACGGACTAGTTGGCTCTACGCCTGCCGCACACGCGCGTGCTTCCCACTTAAAGACTCACGTACGGCGCAGCTATGAAACACGGTCGGCAAGACTCTTCGCGACCGGTAGCAAACTTACGTCATGTCGGACCTGTCAGTGAAGTTCACAAAGCTGTGACGCAAATCCCCCCTCGAGGGCATGTTCTCAATCAACATGACCTTCCTAACGCAAAAGTACCCCCTCTGGGCCTTCTGATTACAGTGGCACCTCTTGGAAGGTTCCACACTGGTGAGGGTTCCAAAGCCACCCTTAGGAAGGCTGCTGCTGCTGCAGTAAGGTAGTCACTGCTTGTCTGCACTATTGCCCAGTCCGGATCGCGCTATAGAGCTTCACCTGTCACCCGGCATAACCCGTTACCCGGTGATTTGAAGGGTCGGACAGGGCGGTCCATATTCTAGTGCGAGTGCCGCAGGGTATTCTATCCAGCAGTGCGCACAACCTCTGTCCGGTCAACCACGGTCTAGTTGAGTTTCGAGCGCCACTGGCTAAAGCGCGAAAAGGCCGAGCTCGGTCGCAGGGGTTACCAAGGCTAAGCAGCCTGCCGACGAACTGGCTCAAATTGTATGTGCCGGCGTTCCGCAAGCGGTGATTATGATCTCACACGTGTGAGAGTTCCATAAAAACCACATTAAGAAATACCTACTGCAGGTTGACTTTCAGTCCGGAGAAGGATCAAGTTATTTCAACAGTTGGCAACTTTCCGGGCCAAGGCACTTTGCACGTCAGGTCCATTACAGTAGGGAATGCACAGATGTTCCGCGAGGATGGATTCTTCACTGTCGACCTCACTCGTTCTTCCTTCTCCCATGCACTAATGAACTGTCCGAGCCAGTTAGCCGTTTGGTGACGGGACTGAGCATGGTGGCTGACGCGGCCTAGAAGCCCCCCTGCATGGCAGTAGTAATGGTAGTAGTAGTAGTAGTAGTAGTAGTAGTAGTAGTAGTAGTAGTAGTAGTAGTAGTAGTAGTAGTAGTAGTAGTAGCAGTAGTGGTAGTGGTAGTAGTGGTAGTGGTAGTAGTAGTAGTAATAGTAGTGGTGGTAGTAGTAGCAGTGGTAGTAGTAGCAGTAGTAGTTGTAGTAATAGTAGTAGTAATAGCAGTAGTAGTAGTAGTAGCAGTAGTAGTAGTAGTAGTAATGGACCTTCACAGACTTCGCATCCCGGTTAACGTGTGCAGGTCAGGTCCCCCGGGTTTCGTCCAGCGCAGCGCGATGTGAGGACCTGGGAGGTATCACACGACGACTCGCCGAGTGAAGTAATTTTCGTCGGACTTTGTGGGATAGGCCCAGAAACGCGCGATATACGGAATTGAAACTCTGCAAGTATGTATAAGCGCCCAAGCGGCTGACAATGGAGGTTAGGCGCGATCTCCTCCCTGCCTCGAATTCACTGCCGGCTATCCAGGGGGAACACATATTTTCCGGAGGCCAGAACCGCGATCCCCACAGCCTCACCAAACATCAGTCCGTATGTTTGTGCGTGCTTCAATTGACCCAAAAGTCATGTCCTCAAAGGTCTTTTTTTGTTATTTCAGCCCTGCGCCCCTTTACCTGCGAGATTTGTGGCAGAAACTTCGCGGAGATGAGACATTTGAGGAGTCACATCGATCATATTCACAAAAGTATGCTCCTTTTCCTGCCCTGTGGCCTATTCTCGATGTTCTTCATCTGATCCAGGGACACCGTTTTTATGGTTGTCTTTGAAAGCATTATTATTATTGCGCCATGTATTATGCTGATAGGCGTCTCGATAAGTAATTTGTAACTTGATTCCACCAAGCGCGGGCAGGTTGATTTTCCCTTCTCTCATAACTTTGAAGACCGCACCCGTGGCCATCCTGATATACTGTTGTGAAAGTCGGCAAGTCCGCACTACTTCGCAAGGACTCGATTCACTCGGCATCACGATAGGAATGCGCGAGCGCATTCTTTTTAATACTTTGACCTTGCATGCAAGAGAGGTAGTGCTGCCGAGGATTTGTTGTTGACACTGAGATCATTGACGTGTCATCTTGGTATCCGCTGTTCTTCAAAGCAGTTGGTGGCGGAATATCCTAGATTTATTAACGTTTTTGTACGGTTCGACATTTTATGGCGACCAGCTTTATCAGTGTATACAAATGTAGCATGATTTCCCACACTGACGGCACAGGCACTAGCCCAGACATTTCGATCACCGTGTGTTACACAGCAAGGTGCAGCAGGTACGGTAACATGCGCATGACTTAGTTAATAATGATGGTAGACTTGCGCAGCATCTACCGCACTCTCTCTCCCCTTCCCTCACCTGGACCCGGTGTCAAGATAGAGTCCAGAAGACCGGGAGCGGGGGAGGACGCAGGTGGCTGGCGCGGCCGGACCCGCACCTAGGCGTGCCACCACACCCCCTGATCCACAACATACATTTGACCAGGATTTTTCACTAACAATAACATCCCAACAGGGGTCAGAACTACGAGAACGACCGGGCAGCCATGTTCACCACCTGACATGGTATCAGTGACAGGTACCAGCTACAAGCCCAGACAGGTGTTTCACCGATATTCTTCCGCTGCATGACACAGCTGCGAGGGGTTCGGCTTGTCATCACCCCCCCCCCCCCAACGTTCTCCGTCTGCTTTCTGGTAGTTACTACAGTTTTGTCACTACCGGCTGTTTATCTTCTCAGAACTTAATCACTAACTTAGAGTAGACCAGTAGAAGTATCATGCAAAATTTGTGGACTCCTGACTGCCTATTGGCAGTTAATGAATATTACTCAATAATGTCGCCGTAGCCGGCGGATTTCGGCTTTCGAAGTGAGCCGATAAATCTTCATGCCGACGATTTGCTCCAAGTTGCGAATTAATTTCTGAGGAAATTAGAAAAAAGTTGAGGACAGCTGTCATTAATCAACAAACACTCGCAGTCATCCACACTTGACTCCACCGTCATAAGTCATCGTGTCGTTGCCGGCAGCACACTCTTGCGTGAACACCACAGTTTTTGGAATTAGCAAAATTGGTGGTGGTATCGCAGTCCAAATCTCCAAAACCAGCCAACTCCTCAGCAGGTTTTGGGCTTCAATATGGAACCGGAACGACATTTTCTTCGACAGCTGCCTTAAGATATAAAAGACTGTGTTGCCGACTGCGCTGCTCTGCGACAAGGCTGTCCGCTATTCTCCAGCCGTATTCATAGGAGGTACCACGAAGGTTCGCAAGTGTAGACCCTCGAATCGACCCCTGCGTAGAGTAACAGGAATTCACCCCCGATTGAACGGGCTTGTTGCGAGCCTGCCCTCCAAATAGTCCATCACCTTACTGGCAGACGAAAACGTAAACGACGATGGTTAGGATAACACCTTAGAGATCTGTCTTCGAATTAAGCAAGACTCCCCGAAAATATTTCGTGCACGATCGCCATGGATGTCGTAAAGCATGTAATAATGATTATTAAAGCTGATTAAAAGCGAAAAGCGACGATTCATGATGGGAATACTGATGGGTAACGCCGCCAACGTTCAGTGCCTTCTTGAATGCCTTCAGTAACAACGTACATTCAGAACTAGCACTTGGAGTGGACAGCAGCTTGAGAACCGTTGCGCTGGGAGTTCGACTGTTGTGACCGGCGATGCCCACCGTGTGCTCCACAACAGAATGATAGCAGGCGCGGTAACTGGCACATGCTTCTTCTTTTGTTGTGATGGCGGATTTGCGCAGCATCGATCGCGCCCTCTCATCCTCCCCCACCTGAACCCGGTATCAAGGCACAGTCAAGAAGACGGGAGGTGCGGTAGGCTACAGGTGGCTGGCACGACCGGGCTTGCACTTAGGTGTACCCCCCTGGTCCACAAAGAACACTTCACCGGGATTTTAACCAACAACAGCGACGGCTGGCGCAACCGGAGCCGCTTCTAAGCGCACCGCCACACTCCCTGGTGCACAAAAAGGATTTTAACCAACAACAGCAAGATCTACGACTGGCGCTGCTGCTGAAGCCACCCTAGGCGTGCCGCCACACCCGCTTGGATATCACTAGGTGGGAGTGCCATAAAGGCTACTGCAGCCTGACTCTCAGACCACCATTTTGCCACCTCACACAAACACGCAGTGAGCTAACTGCGAGGACTGAGTTGGAGCGCCAGGTGGCAACCTTCCAAGCCGCGGCTTTTAGCCAACCGTGATAACTTCAACCTCTTTAGATTGCTCATAGTGAGAAGGATGCGCTGAGTCGTCAACGTCACTCTCTGTGTTCCCATTCGCAGGTCCCAGCCACTGTGTCTGAGCAGGTCAGTCGTCTTGGGCGGGGAATGGGCGCAGCGGCTGACATATCTAAGGAATCAATCTACGCGTGCCGCACACACGACCGGGCCCCTCTAAAAACTACCACCAGGATTTCACTCAAAAGGGAGTTGGCGGCCTACGTTTTGCATGCGTCACTTTAATAAGGAACCGTTGCAGCCTGACTCTCAGTTTACTGGTCGGCCTCTCAACACACAAGCACACAACGGGTTGACTGCAAGTGCTGAGTTGTAGAGTCAGTTGGAAACCTTCCCAGCCATGGTACTTAGTTCACCGCGGACCTCACATGCAGCACATGAACCGCGAAACACGCCTCCCACTTTCGTGAGAGGTGCCAGTGTTGTGGGATTTTAGAGAGTTGTACGCGCAGTGCAGGTGTTGGTGGGGGTTTGTGTGATGACGTCGTCGTGTCAGCGGTGATTAACCGCAGGTTTTCATAAATGCCTATGGGACCTAGTAGGCCCATGCGGTGGCTAAATGCGCGAGGCCCCAGCGGGCAGTTGGGCGAGTACGTCTGGTGTATGTCAGTGCTCCAGACTCTGGTTCGCCAGTCTCCGTGTGATGGACTCGCAAGTGACCGACCAGGCAGATGTGTGAGATGGATGTATGGGGACAGTGTGGACAGGATAGATCGGGAGCGTCAGAGTCAGTTTTAATGGTGGTGGTGGGATATGCTTTGGCTAAGAAGCAGTAGATGTGCAAGGTGTGCTGGGTATGTAGATACTACAATGTATTCTGCGCAGACAGTGAACGCGAATGCGGCGGGTGTAGGTTGGTGCTCCATGCACTGGTTCGCCTGTATCTGTGCAATGGATTCGCAAGTGACCGCCCAGGCCGATGTGTGAGGCGAATGTGCGGACGCAATGAGGGCAGCTCAAGACTGAGTCCACATCACTGGATGTTAGGGTGGTGACGGTGAATGTGATGGGGGTTTTCGGGGCGTCAGGAGCGTTTTGGTCGGTGGCGGCCGTGGTAGGGATTGTTGTGTTTTATCGTCGCCGAGGTAATTGCGAGAGGCAGTTGAGGTGGTAGTGGTCGACCGCAGTGCGGTATGCGGATCCGAAACAATTTAGGTAAAGGTGGGCGCCGACGCGGAAGTTGGAGGAGGGGCGGTCGTGGAGGTAGCGGTTGCAGTCGTCGGACGGTTGGTGCATTGGTTCCGAAACTGACCGATGAGGCCAATCCGCGCGCAAAATATTCGTTGACAGCGTGGGCACTTTGGGTGGGGTTTAGTAGCGATATTGCGGATTGAAGGCGCCTGAGACCTGCAAGCTTCTCTTTTGGCTTAGGTGGCGACGATCCGATGTGATTTGTAGATGGCTGCGCCAGTCTTTACCTTTCTTCTCAAGGCCGGTCAGCTCCGGGCGAGGTCTTCCCGGGTCGGTTGGTTGACATGCAATCGCTTCAGAGTATTTTTCAGTTTCCTTGTAGCGTCGTCTTGGTCCTTTCAGGTCCGATGACAACATCTCCGTAGAGGAGTCATTTGGGTAATCGCGCATCGCCCCACCTCACGAGGTTACCGTTCTATTGCAGTTGCAGTTGCCACAGCATGTCGTAGATGCTGAGGATTCCGATCGGTTCCAGGATTTCCGTGCCTGGGATCCTGTCCTGCTGTCTCAGCTTCAGTGTTCTGCAAAGGCGGCTAAGGTGGAAGTAGTTGAGCTATCTGGCATGGCCGGACTGATGGTCCAGATCTCCGCCCCCGTGTAGAAGTCTCGCCAAAGTGACGGCCTCCAGATTGGTGTTCAGTTGATGTCCGTACCGATCCAACACAGAGGCCTGCAGCCGGCCGAAGGCCTGCCTGGCTTTTGAGTTGCCGATCGGCAACCTCGTCATCGATTCTTGTGCTGCGCGGCAGTTTGCTTCCTAGATAGGCAAAGTTTTCCGCGGTCTAGTTTTGGCTGCCGTTGACAGTGATTTGAGGCGAGCTGTATTCAGCGTTCGGTGGCGGTCGATGCATGATCACCGTTTTGTGCGTATTGATGATCAGTCCGAAGTGAACGCAGCCGGAGGAGGAGAGACCCATGCTCTGTTGCATGTCTTCGCCGGCCGTAGTGTTAGGTGCGCGGTCGTCGACGAGGTGCAGCTCGTGATCCGTGGTCGTAGACAGCCACGTTGGGGCCTGCATGTGCCTGCTGTTGAGAAGATGCTCGTCAGTTCTCTTGGTGATGTGTATCCCAGGGCGCTCATCACGGTAGGCTTTCATCAGCATGGCGAGAACGTGAGGCTGAAGAGGGTGGGAGCGAGTATGCGTCCCTGCCGGTAACTGCGAATGTCTCCGAGATTGCGCCGTTGTCCGCGGCGTGTGCCGGTGTGAGCTGACGCACCATATTCGTAAAGCGCTCAGGACAACCGGATTTCTACATAGTTTTCCACAGTCCCCCTCGACTTGCCGTGTCGAGGGCGTTCGTCAAGTCCACGAAGGTATTCTAGAGGCGGGTTCACGCCTCCTGTGGCTGGCAGACAGCAAAGATCATATCGGTGGTCTCGAGGTGTCGGCAGAAGCAATATTGGCCTTTCCGGGAGTGGTGCTTGCTCGAGATGGAGGTTGAGACGATCGAGTAGAAGGCAAGCGAAGATCTTGTCAGATTTAATGAGTAACGCGATGCCCCTGTGATTAGCATAAATTTGTCGGTTCCCTTTGCGATGGAAAATGGACGATGGTCGCGTCCTTGAAGTTCCGAGGGATTTGTCCTTGTCTTCTTATCTGGAAGAGTGGCGCGTGGTAATCCATCGATCGGCGATCGCCACGCTTGTTGATTTCAGCTGAGATCGCATTGGAGCCCGGAGTTTTCCCACTGGACTTTTGCACCTCAGATGGAAGGGAGAACGGGAGATCCAGGCCGATGTTGATTTACACTTGGGGGAACCGGTCGATCGCGGCATTGGAGATTGCAAAGGGATGGTTTAGGGCTCTTCTAAAGTGGTCGGTCCACGGCTTCAGAATCTGGGACTTCTCCGTCAAAAATGTTGATCCTTCAGTGCTGAAAAGCGACGAGGTTCCTGTTGTTGAGGAGTGGTAGATGGCCTTGATCGCAGCGAGGAGGTTCCTAGTTTCTTTGCGGTCGGCGTATCCCTTAATCTCCTCGGCCTTGCAAGCCATCCAGGCGTCCTGAATTTCTCGCAATCGCTGCCGCGCAAGGCGACAACATCGATAAAACGTTACTTTATATACATCGGGCGGGCGCTCGATGTATCTCTGTGTATTCTGTTGTTTTCGGCGAGCAGGTTGCTGATGTCGGCGGCGTTGTCGTTGAACTAGTCCTGATGCCGGTGACATGCGCGACCGAGGACACCCAGGGCGGTCGAATGGACGAAGTCTCACAGTCGTCACTATCGAAGGAGGCGTTTTCATCTGGAGCATGCAAGTCTCCCAGGCACTGGATCAGCTGATTGCTGAAGTGTAGACGGTGAGCAGACAAATTAAACAGAGCACTATTCAACTTACCTGCAGATCGCTTACCTTGTGACCTCGCGCGGGATTACAGATGAAGCCTCATCTTGAAGCTGACAAGGCGGTGGTCCGCCAACGATCTTCGTCGCAGATTTCCCTGGCCATTATCAAGTCCTGTCGATCGCGCCGCCGGTCGAGAACATAGTCCAGCAGCTGTCAGCGCCGCGATCGGGGGTACATTCAGGTCGTCTTCTTCCTTCTCGGCAGACGGAATACTGTTGGCCAACAGGAGGCTGTGTTCTGCGCAGGTTCGAGCAGAAGGACACCATTATCGTTGCAGCCACCCATCCCATGAGGACCCCAGCAGTTCCCTCCAGGCGGCGCATTCCGTCCCAACGAGGACATTGAAGTCGCCAAGGACAACCAGCTTGCCCGTCTTCGGCACGGGCGCCAGGAAGGCGTCAGAGCTGGTTATTGGTGGGGCGTAGGCGCTGATGATAGTGGCGAATTGGGATATCCAAAGAGACAGGCGCAGTCTCATGAGTTGGTGGTTGATGCCCTGCGGAAGACAGAACAGTCGTCCGACGATGTCGTTCCGGATAGCAAAGGTGACGCCCGCGTCCCGTCGTTCTGCCTTTGGGCGACCGCCCCAGAAGAAGGTATAGCCAGCACTCACCTTTTCCAGTATGCCTTGTTAGGAAATACGGGTGTCGCTTAGTGCAGTAATGCCCACCATGTAGCGCACCAGTTCTCGAGCGACAAGCACTGTCCTACGTTCCGGTCGGTTGCTACTGATGTTGTCTAAAAGGGAACGAACATTATTGGCTGTCAGAGTGAGCGGGCTCACCTTAGCAGCCTATGGAGTGGGACGGAGGAGAGGGAGTTCGAAGATGGAGGTTGTTGTGGTTTGTTTTGTTGTTTCTACCGTGAGATTTGCATCTGAGATCCACTGTAAACATGCAGATGACGTGACCCCAGCATTTGTTCAGGACACCTTTCCTATCCGCTTCCCCACCAGGGGGTAAACATTGCTACTCCAACATAGGACTGCTTAAACGTCCCAGACGGCTATCGAACTTTACCATGGGTCACATCTTTGTGTTGTGGAGGGCGACCTGAGTTAGCCTGGGCCGCCTACGTAAGCGAATGTTTCCTAACCCGCAGGACTTTTTGAAGTGGGGGGAGCGGGTAAGGATGCGTTTGGAACACAAAGTTACCGGGTGTGGAGACACGAAACTGGATACCCTCACCTGCTTTAGCCCTCCAGCGGAGACGGTTATCAGGTTGTGGCCTCTAGGCAGAACTTAACTTTGAGGATCCACATGTGAGAGTTGGATACCAGTTAATGGAAACTAGGTGTGGTAAACGCATGCATGAAAAAAGTGAAGCGACCTCCTACGACCTTCGCGTGGACCCAAAACTACACATCCCTACAGCTTGCGCGGAAAGTTACGCATCCTCTAACTCTCTATGCAAGAAGTCCCTTGCTTCTGCTGCGATTGTAGCTTCACCATGGGTCACCATAAAAGGACGTTTGCACAGCAAATGTTGGGCCTTTATCCACTAAGGGTTCTCCCAATCGGCCACTTCAACGGATTCGCACATTGCCTTAGCATGACACTGTGGTTCGCCCCATCTGTTTAAATTCCAGCCAGCTTATCCACTCAGTCTAACAGTTACTCCATCAAAATCTGTCCAGCGTAGGACAGCGGCCATTGTGTCTGCATGCGCAGCATCGAAATTGCAAACGCAACTTGACGGCAGTTACAGCAGTGAGGTGGGTTTTTGTGTGACCCTGTTGCAAGTCGGTCTTTATCGGAATGGGACGGCTGATTCACCCGTTGTTTGGATCTAGGGAAGTAAAGGTGTTTTTTTTATCAAGGTAATGCCCCGATGATTTTGTGCAAATGCCTAATTCCTTTATTTAAAATGCAGTGCAGTTCGTGGAAGAGTTGTTTCAGTTTTTTTTCAATCAAATGACCTCCTTTCGATCTTTGTTTTAGAAATACGCGAATTTGTGTGTGAGGCCTGCGGCAAGGCCTTTTCGCGGAAGGCTAACTTGAATCAGCACGTTGACAGTATTCACAAAGGTCCGTTCCCTTTTCCCGAAGGTTTGTTGTTACATTGCTTATAATAAGTTTACTTTGAATGTCCTTGGCGACTTCAGTTTGGCGGCTTTTGTTTATTTGCCACGGCTTCTTTTACTCGTAGAAGATTTAAGCGACTGTGGTTTTTAATCAAATCCCCTGAAGCCCGGGAGCCCTTGCTCCCACCGTTGAAGTAAACATGATCTCCAAGATTGTGTGCCATACGCTGTCGCCTTCCTGATGAACACCAGCCTCGCAAGGATTCGCGTCCCCCTTGACTGTTACGCATGTTTATGTGGGCCCACGCGCGGCGTGGCACGGCGTGAAGACTACCGACGTCGGGCTCGTGCAGGGTAGTTGACAACCCACGAATTCTTGGCGCATTCGACTCGGTCTGTAATGCTGGCTCGGATGTCACATGCGTTGCAGTGCCCTGAAGGTCACATTGTGATTGAGCCATTGAGGCACAACCCTCATAGGAATCGAGCCATCTTGTTAGCTGGCAGTCTTCCGAGGCAAGACTGCTAACTCCTAGTGATAGGTTTAATCTCGCCAAATTTACTACGGCGAGGAATGTGCTGATGTTCCTCTCACACCCATGCACCAGTCGAATGTCCGAGCCTGTCAACCAGCCGCTGATGCGGTTGGGCGCACTATCGGCTATTTGTTTGCCAGGGGGGGGATCTACATCGTGCTTAGCTGCGACTGAGCCGCTTTTCACATCAATTAACCAGCGTTATCTTCTCACTTATTGCCGCCTCTCACCGAAGGAGATTGATATTTTCCTTTCTATTTAGGCCTGGTTCCTCTCCCAACCGTGCCAAGTCATATGTGCGAGTTTTGCGACAAGGCCTTCGGACGAAGCAGCCAATTGAAGCGGCATGTCGACTGTGTCCACAAAAGTATGTGCCACCTTTCCCTCACCGGTTGACTGTTTCTCTTTAACTTCTACTTTCCCATTATAGTGTCGCGTTGACTTCCTGCACGACACTTCTTTATGCTGCGTTTTTTTGTCTGTGACTGTTCTGCCTGCACGGCATCCTTGTCTCGAAATATTTTGCTACTTGGTAAGATCGCAGTTCGTAGCCAGACATTATAAGTCAACGTACTTACATGTTATCAGTAGGCGTGTTTCTACTAAGTTCCGCAGGTCGCCCGTTTCGGTCAGGTTGTTGGGTTTAGTGACGGTTAGGGTTAAGTTTTATAATTAGGACTAGGGTTAGGGTTTGCCTTTTAGGGTTAGGGTTATGTTTAAGAGTTAAGGTTGGGGTTAGGGTTAGCATTAGGTCTTATGGTTAGGTCGCTAGGGTTAAGGTTAGGGTTAGGTTTGCAAGAGGACAAACATACGGCAATTAATTCGTAAATTACGGCGGCTCCCCAGTTTTATCGCATAAAATGCAGGTCAAACTGCTTGGATGGCATTCTTCCGACTCCGGACTAGACTTTGTAGACTGGAAATATTAGGGGCGCTCTCCATTCCGTCGACCGTTTCCTCTGTCTCTCCGCGAAGTTTTGAATTCTGACCTGTGTCGGTGTATGCAGTGTGCTGAATCAGCTTAATTGACAGGCTTCGGTCGGAGTGCTTCGACCCTTATGCATGTGGAGGGAAGTAAGTATTCTCCGCAAGTTCAAACGACACAGAGTCCTGTTGTCGTTTTTGTAGCCTGCGGAGGAAACGAGATTAACCTGGTGAGTGGGGATTAAGAGAGCCGGCCAGCGAGATGATGACTATGCCCGCAATATGGCGACTTTTCTGGATTGTTGGGCTCTTTTCCATCAAGCCCCATTAGGGGCATGAGCTCATTGTTTCTAGCAAGAGAGATGAGACCGATAATCCGGACAAAACTATCTGCCTCGTGTGATGAAGTTCATCACAGCCGTGAGAGTATCGTGGCGAATCTATTACAAAGCAGACTCGTCTAAGCTCACCCTTACCATCTGACCTGCACCATTTACCAACAACAAGCCTAACTTCTGACCTGTACTTGGTACAGCTGTCATCGTGCCTGATCTAGCCGACTTCGGTGATGTCGCGAATTGTACCTCTCCACGCCTGACGATCTATGGCAGCGACTCTGGAGAACTCAACTCTTTCTCCCCTGCAGCCACAGGCACCGAATACCGAAGGTCCATTTCCATGTCTTGAAAAATGGTTTTAAGCCGGGCTGTGAGTTGTCCTCGTTGGCGCCTCCAGATGGGCAGCGGCACCGACTCGAGGGCAGGAACACTGAGCTTATTCAGCGGACGACTAAGAACATGCCAAAACCACCTAGATCGTCGGTAACGGTAGAGTGTAGGACCCCACGTAGCTGGCAACTCCAACATGTACACTAAAATTCAATGTGACTGGGAAAATAACTTACTATGCACTGTTCCCATTCATTGAAATTTCCTTGCCTTCCTGACTAAATGTTAACTTACCAGCGGTGCTTTATTCAATGTACGTTATTTTTTTGAAACTTGCCTTTCGTTTGTTTTTGAATTAACGCGCCCACCTTCTTTGCCAAATGACAACGTACGATTAGACTTTCGGCAGAAATTCATTTACGTCCTCTATCTTCTTGCTCTCCGTTCCGTGTGTCGTCCCACCCGTAAAATCCGTATGGCACGGTCCACAGGCCATTTCAAGTTCGTTGGGGTCCTACACTCTACCGCTGCGAAATCGTCTTTCTTGAGTGTGGCCGCTGATATCCTCGCGATATTGTCAGAGCAAACGCGGACTGTGTTTTGCGGCAAAGTCCGTGTACTCCAGTCAGTCAGCGGTGGTCAACCACTTCCGATTTTAGCCCATCTACACGCAGCCGTGTAGGAGGACTGGCCGGATGGATGTCCGATGCCCACGGATCTTTGTGCCGATTGAGATGTCTCGTCGGATCCATGGATTCTTCCTGAGGATTATGGAAATCCTGCAAAGATCAATGACTCCGGAGACACTGTCGTCCTTATTCTGTTTGTTTGGCCCGCATTATTTGTCTACTTCAAGTTGACAGTCATTTGCGCTGAGGGCTGCCAGGCCTTTCGCTGATGAGGTTGTAAAGATCGGTCTTACCAGCAGGTGTGGATAGACCGACGGAACTCCTAGCACAATGAACTACAGGTGACCAGAGCTTGAGGCTAGCAGTGCGATATCATCAGTGTGGTCGGGATCAGTCAGTCGATGTCCGAGTGCATCATCCAAATCGTGTATGCCCTTTCCCAGAATCCACCTAGCAACGTAGTTGAACGGAGTGGACAGTAAGTTACAGCATTATGGCATAGCAGATCCAATTTCGAACGGTTAAGAAGGATTGTTATGGATATGAACTCGCGCATTTATACGTCGATAGCAGGCACTGATCGTGGCCATTATTTTTTGCCGGCACACCATATCGGGAATCCGCCCCCCTTACCCAATGCCAAAATTCAGGGTGTGAGGGCGGGCCCGGTTGCAGGCCCACGCCGCGCAAATTAGGATCAGTGTCGTCCCCAATTTTTTTTCTGGTTTTAAGTTCAAATCAAATATTTTTTGCGAGGCAGAGTGTGGTGGTGCACCTAGGTGTGGGTTCTTGCCGTGCCAGACACCTGCGTGCCCTCCCGTCTTCGGCCTTCTTGACTATGTCTTGACACCGGGATCAGGTGGGAGGGGCGAGAGTGCCGCAGATGCTACGTACACTATGTGGGCTAACTCATGAAATGTCAACCGAAATCCCGAAATGCATTTTTTTCGAAAAGACTACTTAGATAGGGTTGTAAAATGAATCATCATGCAGCATAATTCTAAAATAATTCATTTGCCTCAGGATGCCGGCTTTCGAAGGAACCTCTTTCCGTCTGCATGCAAAAACCATACTCTGCGAAAGGTTATTACTTAAGTATCATGCATTTTTCTCATTCCTTTTGATGTCCTTAATAAATCAATTATATTTCGTCGAAAACAGGCATAAAAATATTCAGTATGTTATTATTGTCGGTAATAACATACTGCCTACATCATGCGCCGCTGTGCGGCTGCTGGCTGGGCTCGAGAGAGAGCCCGTAAGGCACAACGGAACGAGCGAGTTCCGCAAGAACGATCGGTACGCGTCCCTACCATAAAAATATTCATTTTTTCGCTCATTCGGTAGAAAATTACGTCTTCCTCCAATTTTGCACTCGAAGGCAGGGTATAATTTGGCTTTAAAAAACTTTTCCAATTCCCAAATAATTTTGAACTCGACCTTCCGTTGCACTTGTATTCAGGGTTTCCAAACTACAAACCGTATGTTTTCCGCTTACGGAAACCCATACATTTCTCTGCGGTATTAAGAGGAGACTATATGGTGTTCAGAAAATTAAGCAGTGGATTTGAGCCATATTGTTAATTTTACAAGCCGCATTGGTAAATTCAGAGACATGATGTTTTATAAACGGCCATTTCACGGTATTAAAATATCTCGTAACTAGAAACCCCTTTAAAACCGAATTATACCCTTCCCTCGAGTATTAAATTAGCAGACGATGTAAAAGAAATAAATATTTTTATGTGTGCATTCCATGAAATATAATTGAATTTTTAAGGGCATCGAAAATCAATTGGAAAGATGCATGCCACAGAGGTAGTCATTTTTTGCAGAGTATAGTTTTGGCATGCAGCCGGAAAAAGGTTCCTTCGAAAGCCGGCATCCTGACGCAAATGAATTATTGTAGAATTATGTTGCACGATTATTAGTTTTACAACTCTATCTAAGTAATCTTATCGAAACGAAAATGCATTTCGGGATTTCGGTTTTCATTTCATGAGTTAGCCCACCCGCTGTAGTTGAACGGAATGGGCAGAAAAGTACAGCATTATGGAATGCCAGACCTTATTTCTAACCGGTAAGAAGGATTTTTATGGATCCGAACTCGCGCAGAAATGCGTCAATAGCAGGCACGGATCGTGGTTATTATTTTTCGCCGGTATACCATTTCGATTGCCGGGCCACAAAGACTCATGGATGCACAAGATCAACATCTGTGTCAAAGACAGAAATGTTGACCGCCGTTGGTTGTTAGTAGTCTTGTCGGAATTCAAGAATACGCCTCAATGGTAATCTCTGGTCTGCTCCCCCACGCCCTGCTCGGAACCCGGCCTGGTTAGTCCTCGTCCTTGAGTCATGCGTATCGAGAAATCGCCTGAGAATGAACACAGCGCAGACCTTCTCAGCAGCATTAGTCAAATTTATGCCAGCGTAGCTCTTGCACATTGTCTTATCTCTCTCTCCTTGAAGACAAATAGGAGGATTCTGGAACCCCAGCCACCAGGAAGGACGTGTTCCTACGCTCGCACAAACCCCTTATGGAATCAGAGCGCCAGCGTGTTGGCGCAAGACTTCTAGATTTCAGTGGGAGTAGACGAGACTAGGGACAGTGATGCGCAAAGTTAGATGGCCTGTCTACGCTCTCGTCGCGCTAACCAGGTCTCATCCAAGGGTTCTGAGTTCTCACATAAGTGAGGATTCCATAGTATTCATAGTACACTAGATGTGCTAACTCCTGAAATGTCAACCAAAATTTCGAAATGCGTTCTCGTTCCGAAAAGATAAACTAAGTAGTGTTGTAAAACTAATCATGATGCAGCATAAATCTATAATGATCCAGTTACCTCAAGGAGTCGGCTTTCGACAGAACTTATTTTCGGCTGCACGCAATGTCTATACTCTGCAAAAATGACTACTTAAGTAGTATGCAATTTTCTCATTTATTTTTGATGCCCTTGAAAATTAAATGATATTTCACGGAAAACATGCATAAAAATATACATTCTTTTACTTATTCGGTAGAAAATTACGTCTTCTTCCAATTGCATACTCAAAAAAAGAGTATAATTCGGTTTTAAAAAAGTTTTCTGATTCCCGAATAATCTTGAACCCGACCTGCCGTTACACTTGCATCCAGGGTTTCAAAACTACAAGCTGTATGTTTTCCGTGTACGGAAAACCATGCATTTCTCTACGGTGTTAAGAGGAGACCATATGAGGTTCATAAAATTAAGCAGTGGATTTGAGCAATATTGTTAAATTTACAAGCCACATTCGTAAATGCAGACACATGACGTTTCATGAACGGCCATTTAACGGTATTAAAAAATCTCACAATTAGAAACTTTTTAAAACCGAATTATACTCTTCTTTTGAGTATGCAATTGGAAGAAGACGTGATTTTTTGCCGAATAAGTGAAAGAATGAGTATTTTTATGCATGTTTTCCATGAAATATCATTGAATTTTCAAGGGCATCAAAAATAAATGAGAAAATTGCATACTACTTAAGTAGTCATTTTTTGCAGAGTATAGACCTTGCGTGCAGCCGAAAATAAGTTCTTTCGAAAGCCGACTCCTTGAGGTAACTGGATCATTATAGATTTATGCTGCATCATGATTAGTTTTACAACACTACTTAGTTTATCGTTTCGGAACGAGAACGCATTTCGAAATTTTGGTTGACATTTCATGAGTTAGCACATCTACTGTAAGAAGGAATTATTGTATCCTGACCTCCCCTTCTGAATCAGCCATGATAACAAGGGCCAATTATTTCTACTGTGAGTGATGCGTACCTGCCTGTACACGGTTCTGAAGGCAAAATCAAGGAGTATTTTTAGTGAGGCTCGGAAACGCTGCCTCCTTTTCCAATTTTTTTATTACTTTGCTACTAGCATGAGTTTCAGTAGATGTGCTGCAGTTCGCCCACCTAGGTTTTGCATTAGGGGTGGGATTAGGGTTCGGCTTGGTTGTCAGTGTTCGGTTTGGAGTTAACTTGCTTGCTTACGGATCCGATCAGCGGCAGCTTCCTCAAATCCGTTTTATCGATAGGATTTGAACTTACTTTTTAAGTTGGACTTGGTGTTCGGCTTACGGTGTACGCGGTTTTAAACTGGTTTTTCATTTCGGTTTTTGGAGAAACGACTTACTGCCAATTTTGAACCCACTGCCTATAACTTTCATCTATGGCCTCCGCCTGATTGGTCACGGGCTTGGACGGTTCAGTTTCGATGACCTTGACGGGCCAGTCACTACTGCTCCTACTGGAGTTGTTTTGTGGCAGATTTTTGTATGGCGCGCTGCTTACCCCGATAGCCTAGTATCCGTTAAGACGAACTAGCACATTAGCCTTTCATGCACCAGTTTTTCTCCTAGTTTTCACACAACCTTCCGTGTTCTCCAGTAACTTCACCCGTAAAGCCCTTATTACAACGGTTCCCGTATTGGAGGCGCTTTGTCTTCTCAATATCCGTGCGCAACCGCGTTTCTGAGTCTTGCCGTATTTTTACGACAGTAGACCAGTCCATTCAGTCACTGGGGACTGCCCTATCAATTATCGTAGAGAATACTAGCTCTGGTGGAGGGACGTTCACTGTTTTAGATTGCAAGAAGCGCTTCTCCCGTCGTGCCTTTGGGTTCAACGTAGAGTCCCTACAAACAGCCATGCGTTGACCAGTAATATGTACAGAGGAGTAGATACTGACAAAGGCAAGGGACAACTGGTAGGTCGATGGGCTCGTGGCCAAGTGGTATGGCGTTAGACTACTTAAAATTAGCCGGGTTTGACGTCCAGGCCTCGGGTTGGGCATAGTGGACCCACGATGGCTTATAAACCAGAAGTGGCTATTCCGGTCTCCGGTGTCATAGTCTCTGTACTGCTTCCAGAGTTCATGCTTTAAACCGTGTCATGACGATTGGTTGAAATACGCCGCAGACATGATTACCGATCCTGTCCGACCTGGTAGACCTGTCGATCCGGCAAGGTTTGATGTTGTGGACGGGACGAGCTTTTGTCCACATCGACTGGAGTGATTAGGAACTGTCCTCACAACCGTCCCGCTCTCATTCGGCCTCCTGTCCGACCCTGAGGCCCTGGAACTCTTGGCAAGGACCAGCAGGTGAAAAAGTCGCCCTTGTTGTCTCGCGCTCTCTCAGTCTCTCTAGTTTGTCTAACAGCTCCCAGTGTCAGGACCTTTTTGAGCGCGCCATGCAAAAAGCCGTGGTGAGGGTAGGGTATGTAGTCACCCCTCCTGGATGGCTCTTCAACAATCTACTCCCCTCGTGTAGGTAGATGTGGTTCATTGCGGTTTTCTTGGCAATCGGTCACGGTCACGATGCGCGATTCTAACCTTTAATGGCATTAAAGATGCTCGTATCACGCTGATAGTTATGGTTAGGGCTACGTTTAAGGTTAGAGTTAGTATTAGGAGTTGGGCTATGCTTAGGGCTAGAGTTGTCAGGCTTGGGTTAGGGTTTTGGGATTAAGACTAGGATTGGGGTTTTGACCTAGGGTTGGAGTTGCTTTTTTAGTTTCCTTAGAAATTGCCAGCGAACTTGGATTAAATCAGTATATTTAAGGTCTATATGCACAGGCCGAAGTTCTTATGTATGCATATTCGGGCCGACGTCCATCAGCCACAAAGGATAACTTCGTAATATTCATTAACTGCCGACAGACAGCTAGTAGTATACTTTAGTGTAGGGTAATTCCATACTAACAACACAGGTATTAGCTAAAAGCCCATACACGCGTGTTTCGCCGATATTCTGCCGCAGTATGACACAGCTGCGATGGGTGCGGCTCGTCAGTGCGTCCCCCAGCATTCGCTGTCTGCTTCGGTCTGCGCCCATAGACCCTAGTATATACTGATCTACTCCAAGTTCGCAGTAAATTTCCAAGGAAATTAAAAATCAACAAATTCTAAATTGCAGTATCTACCGGCAAGCAGACAGGGGATGCTGGGGGGACCCACTAGTGTGTCGAACCCCTCGCGGCTGTGTCGTGCAGCGACAGAATATCAGCGTGTGTGGGCCAGTGGTTGGTACCTTTGCTGTTAGTATGGAATCACCTTACCCTAATATGTGGTTATGATTTTAGGATTAGGATTGAGATCAGAGTTAAGGTTATGGTTTTAGATTAAATACTTAAACTTCTTTCGCCAGTGGATTCTTGTGCTGGATTCTTTATTTTTTTTAAGAACCTTGTTTCCCACTTTGATGATTTAAATTTCGATTTTTAAGGTTCGAAGTAATTTGAACCTTTTAAAAATTAATTGTATCGCTTTTTATTTGTGCTACAGAACTGCGGAAGTTTGTTTGCGACGTGTGTGGGAAAGCATTTTCAACGAAGGAAAGCCTCAACCATCATGCGTTCAGTGTCCACAGAGGTGCGTGTTACATTTCTCAATGCTTGTTGTCATTGTGGGTAAGGGCAGCGTATGTAACCCCCTTGGAATGGTTGATCAAAAGCCCGCCATCCTATCTTACTTAGTTGGGTGTGCTTCATTACGGGTAAGGGGGTGGGGTTTGTAACCCGCCTAGGTGGTTGGTGTGCTTCATAACTGCCTGTTTGGCAGTAGGTCGCGAAAAGGGGTTATGCAGAAAGCGGATTTCAACCTCCAATAGCGTTATCGACATTAAAGTCGCCCGTTTAGAGTTTGGGCAGCTCACGGTTAGAATTTGTCGCTTTTTAATTCTCCCAGAAATTATCTACAAAGTTGGAGTAGTTCAGTTTATTCAAGGTCTATAGGCTCAGACTGAGAATTTTATACATGAATATTTGGGCCAAAGTACATCAGTCACATCAGGTAGCCGCGTAATATTCATTAGCTGCCGACAGGCAGCTAGTAGTATACTTTAGGGTAAGGTGATACCATACTAACAGCACAGACAGTAGCTAAAAGCCCATACACGCGTGTTTCTCCGATATTCTGCCGCTCCATGGCGCAGCTGCAAGGGGTTCGGCTCGTTAATGGGCCCCCCAGCATTTCCCTGTTTTCTGGTAGGTACTCCAATTTAGAATTTGTCGCTTTTTAATTTCCTCAGAAATTATCTACGAAGTTGGAGTAGATCAGTTTATTCAAGGTCGATAGGCTCAGTTCGCGAATTTTATAAATGAATGCTTGGACCAAAGTCCATCAGCCACAGCGGGTAACCGCGCAATATTCATTAGCTGTTAGTGGTGTTAGTTGAGTTGTTCTTGAGTTGATGGTTGGCAGGCTTGGATCGTGGTTTGGAATTGGGGATGAGGTTAGGGTTAAGGTTTTAGGGCTTGGCATGACGTTGCGGTTACCTCCTTCTATGCTTACGGGCTGACGCTTTCCCTCTGATGGCATGGCCATGGGTTGTGTTAGGTGTGTAGCTAACTACGATCTCCCCCGAGGGGGTTACATACCATACCCTTGCCCTATTGTGTGCCCTTCGCGTTCCCGTGCCACTGGTTCTTTTTCGCCCCTCACTGTCCCACCGTACAGGCCTGGGCCTGAGTAATCGGAAATGCGCACTTGCCTGAATGTTTCACTTTCATGTGGTTTAGGTGCATGTGGGCAATTCCCCTCTATTATTCGGGACTTTCCTTTTTAAGAGATTAATTATTGTTATTAAACTCGATATTTTTTTTATAAAATCGATTTTCGATGCCCTAGTATTACAAGATACCATACTCGCAGCAAATATACAAGCTAAAAGCCCATCCACGTGTGTTTCTCCGATATTCTGCCACTGCATGGCACAGCTGCAGGGAATTCAGTTCATCAACGGGTCCCCCAGCATTCCCCGTGTGCCTTCTGGTAGATACTCCAGTTTAGCAATGGTTGCTTTCTAATTTCCTCAGACATTAACTGCGAACTTAGAGAAACTCAGGTCAATAGGAACAGACTGGAGTTTAATTTATGAATATCTCGGGTGAAGTCTATCAGCTACAGCGGGATAATCGCGTACTATTCACTTCTTACCGACCGGCAGTTAGTAGTATAATTTAGTATCACATGAACTATGCTAACAGCACAGGTGCTACCTAAAAGCGCCCATATACTTATTTACGCAGCTAATTTCACAGCTAATTTCTGACGAAATTGAAAAACAACAACTTTCGATGCTGGTTGTCACTGTGGAAGGTTGGCTGCTCTCTGCCGATGGTCTCTGGCTTGCCGCCTGCTTGAAATCACCCTTTGGCGAAGGCCAGCAGTCGAATAAGCAGGCTTTCGTGTCTGGGGAAAAGTAACTCTCGGAGCGTAGAATGTATTCACAGGTGTGTGTGACCGCGGACCTCGGTCTGGCAATCCAGCCAGCTACAGAAAGGTCGCAAGGCACAGCGCTTTTGACCTGGCTAATAGGGCCTCCTGCCCCGTCACCCTACCGCGGTGATGCGAAGGGTTGGGTGGAATGGTCTGTCTTCTAATAGGGGTGCTGCAGAACATTTCTCTCAGCAGTCGGTCTTGCGCACACCCTCTGTCCGATGAGTCACGGTCTTTAGGCCAGTTTCGGACAAACGGAAAGGCAATACCAAGTGTGTATTGGTTCAACTGTCTGGTAGCTAAGTAGTGCCGAGCAGCAGTCGCTAGTAGATAAGATTAGTTCCCTCCCACCGCTACTGGTTGAAAAGCGAAAAGACGCCGCGGATTCGCGACGGTCACAGACGACGGCGTTCGCCGTGTACCTTACGAAGCGGACGCATTAGCGTGTAATTGCTCGAAAATTATTTTATAGTGGGTCAGGTTTGCGCAATATCTACTGTGCCCTCTCTTCCATGGGTTTATGTAAAGGGGGCTCGGGTCAGACATTCGTGCAGTTCCGTAAAGGCAAAATTAAGAAGGAGCCATACCGCCTGATTGAGTTATCCAGTCATTTGGCAGTCTTTCAAACCACGACTCGTAGTGCGTTATGATATATTCAAGCCTGTCGGGTTTATTATAGTGGGGAAATGCGCCGATATTCCTCGAGGATGGATTCCTCACTCACTTTTTACCTCTCTTTCCCTCACTGGCAGTAGTAGTGATAAAAGTAGTAGTATTAGTAGTAGCAGTAGTGGTGGTGGTGGTGGTAGTAGTGTAGTAGCAGTAGTAGTGGTGGTGGTGGTGGTAGCAGTAGTAATAGTAGCAGTAGTAATGGTGGTGGTAGTAGTAGTAGTAGTAGTAGTAGTAGTAGTAGTAGTAGTGATGGTAGTAGTAGTAGCAGTTGCAGTAGTAGTAGTGGGCTATGCTTAACGTGTGCCGGTTCCCCCTCCCCCCCCCCGAGTTTTGTCCAACGCAGCCTGATGTGGGGACCAAGGGCCAATCACAAGACGACTTATTGAACGAAAAAATCTCCATAGGATTTTATAAGATGGGCCAAGAAACGTGCGATATACGGAATTGAAGGTATGCACGTATGTATCCGCACCTAAGCAGCTGACAAGGGAGGTCAGCTGCCCCAAATAACTCTCATTTGTTGCGATCTTCTCCAGCCTCGAACATATGTTTATCTGGAGGCCATGGCCGCAGATATCACTCTCTCTCTCTCTCACCAGACTCAGTCTGCATCCTATTTCATCTGTGCGTACTCAGACATGTCATAAAATGCTTCATTGTTGTGATATTTTAGACATAAAATTCGCGGAGATGGGACACCTGGGGAGTCACGTCGAGTATATTCACAAAAGTATGCTTCTTTTCTTGCTGTCTGGTCCATTTATGCTGCTGTTGTTGTTCAGTTGATTCAGAAACACCATTTACACGCAGGTCTTTGGAAGCCTTGTGATTTTTTGCGTTGCGCGTCTGTTCGCTGCAGTCAGCTGAGCCCACATTGATTTCCACGCTGTCATCACGCAGAGGATTTGATGTCTATGCTCCATGTGGCTACGAGAACAGCTCTGTATGGAAGAGGTGTGGAACAGGTGTGCAAACGGGTGAAAATCTAGGAGTCAGCTTTTTTGAAAGAACTGAAGGATTTTCTTGCTGACGTGAAAACGATCTACTGTCCCCACCCGGACAGTGTTCAACTCCGATGTCACAACGCTTCCGCTGAAGAATCACCCATCATTGCGGTTTTTCTGGACCGCAATGACGACTATCTGAAGACTGGTTCAACTAGTGCACTCGCCCTCTGCTCTCCGAGCAGGACCAAATGCCCTAAGAAGTCAACTGCACCTCTGTACAAAAGGCCTCTAGGTGATTTGAAATAACGTAACAAGTTCTCCTGCGGTTGTAAAGACGGTCCACTGCCAACAACCGAATTGAATTTGTCCGCTCCGACCTAATGTCAGAACGTTGTTGTCAGAGAAATTTAATGCCCCGGCGGTCTGGGTGAAGGCTTTTGAAGCCTCCTTGATAGGCAGTATTCAGCCTCTAGCGGCGTGACCAATAGCCTGCCACAAGTCGATACGGAACTCTGTTTGCATCTATCTCTGATCTAAGTTGACTTACTGCTGAGTGGAAGATTTCCGGGAGCAGGCATGCCTTAAAGTTGGGTCCATTGGTTCCTTTGCTTCAGGGCCACCTCTGGTCTTGCGAAAAAGGCGTACTGGGAGTCCGCCGTAATCGTCACTGACCCTATGCACTCCGCACCACAATAAAAATCCTCGAAATAGCACATAAATTTGCTCTTAATGTTGTTTCGGCTTTCATTTTAAGGTTCTTGTCCGTGCTGTTTATTTGCTCCGGTCAAGTTACCTTGTAGGACTTGAAAGCGAATTTGGTATTTACTTTGACCGCCTGGCGTCCGACGCCATGTCTCGCATCTTTGAAGTTAGCGGCGCCTCCTAGCCTATGCGCTCACCTTCCAAGCCTCTCTCCTCTTTCAGTATCAGCCTTGGAAAGAGCCACGTCTTTTACGACGGAATGCGAGCTTAAGTCACCTCCTTTTTACATGAACGGTTCTGAGGATGCAGGGATGACTTGCGCTTATATTTATTCAGAGTGCGGCCGACTTGCGCAGAATCTACATCACATTTTTTATCCCTGTCCGTTTCTTTCCAAGTCGAATCGAGCACGACGGCTGTCGCGTCAAAAGCAGGTTATACACGTACCTCACGATGCTGCTGGCTCTTAACTCGATGTGGGGCAGCATCCAATGAGGAAGTCAGCGATCTCATGCGACTGCAAGATGGGGGAGTCCTTGCGACTTCATGCTCTAGTACTTTATGTGTTTGGGGGAGGCCGAATTAGGCACGAGACTGTTGTTGAATGAACAAGTCTCAATCAAGCCAACTAGTGATAAGACCGGTTGGAGTGGCTTGGCACTAAGCCTTCGCTTCACTCACGTCTGCTTCCCACTTAAGACTAGCACAGTGCTGCAGCTTCCAAACTCCTGCAGCAAGACTCTAGGCGACTGGTAGCCTCAGAAGACGAAGATGCGATCACTGGAACAAGAAATGTATTGGCCTGACGTTTCGAATTCCCATTCGAATCCATCGTCAGAGATATTTGCGGGCAAAGGTGATGGTGGCACAAGGAGTGCAGTGTTTGTAGCACGTGGCTGCCGCGAGACCGTATGCACACTGTAATTAACAGCTCTCGCAATCACCGCTGGGGTCGTAATTGGTGTGATGGTGACTTGTCAGTCCGCGTTTCAGTCGTTAATGGCCGTGATTCCGTCATCCGTGCTGGATGGTGGTGTGACGATCGCTCGACAACTTGGCTTACTGTCACTGAGATAATTGCTCGCCCGCGCTCTCCCTACGTGACTGATTCCCCTGCCCAGGGAAAATCTCAGCACGGAATATGGTACCGGGAGGTCATTGTGCTTGTTGATAGATTGCGGGCCTGAAAACCATGACTCGAGCAGCTCGCGGCTCACGCGGTTGTCACCCATTGCGAGGATTTCGGCCTCTGGAAATTTGAAAATATGGCCGGGTCCCGTCGAGTGTGCCGCCACCTGAGAACTAGCGTCTCCCCGCCTCACTGCTGCTGCGTGCTCGGCACTTCGCGTACGGAGTAATCCCCCAGTTTCTCCGACATAGTTGCTTTGTCCGCAACTACACCAGATCCGGTAAACGACTCCAGACGTTTCCAGCCGTGGCAGCGGGTCTTTTGGCCTCATAACTTGGCGCCGAATGGTTGCTTCCGGCCTGTGTGCAACCCCAACTTCAAGAGGAGTGAGAAGAAGACTGACGGCTTCCGAGACGTTCTTCACGTACGGAAGAGCATGCCTGTGAGTGCTTCTATGTGCCGGTTGGAACAGAATGCACCCCCGCTACGCCAAATCCAATGGGTGTGCCACTAACCCGTAAGATGCGTTCGTTTTACAGCACAGATGCTGCTGGAGCCGTTGCTGTACCTGCTATCAACACACGTTGGGTAGAGTTTTTGCACTACGCCAGCTCCCGAGCTCAGTTTCGTCGCGTTTCGATCCACAGGCTTCGGCAGCCAAATGATACATGCGAGGGGAAGAGGCTGTGATGCAGTCCAACGCATTTCTCCCTATGCTAATCCAGTCGTGCTCGATCTAACCAGCACGGGCCAACAGTTATAGCCAAGAAAATTGCCATCTGACAGGATAATCTGATCCTCTTTTGGCTGGGGGGCCAAGCTGCAGTAGGTCCTACTCTGTGTGATTACTGTCATTGCCGCGGAACCCCAAACCCCCTTCCTCCGTAGACTGTCTATTTAACTTTGTTGGCTACTGAGTCCAGCATTCCTCACGAACAGCCAGCAACCATAGCCTGGAAATTTGCATGTGACGAGAGTCAGGCTGCATTAGTTCCTCCTCAGGGTGTTCTCACTGCTGCCTCTCGCTTCTTTTCGATCCTAGGCTGCCTAACTTTGGCCGGGGGGTCATGTGCGCCACTGCCCCGCTCCCAGCCGTTTTGACCCTGGTAGTTATGTGACTCATGTGTTTCTGCCCTTCAGGACTGCGTAAACGTTACTGTGAAATTTGCGATCAAGGCTTTCTACTGGATGAGGACCTGAAGAAACATGTCGACAGTGTTCACGGAGGTATTGTATTCCCCTTTTTCACGGAGTATTTGCCAGATAGTGGCTTTGTTTTTCTCTGTGTGTCTGTGTTTTTAGGGCAAAATTACGGCAAGTCAGCGGTAAGACACGGTGATAGAAACCCCCACCCCTGGTTATACAGGTGCGCAAAATCCCGGGAAGTGTTAATGTCCCTGGGCCATGACCATAAACTTTGGCCTTAATACTAACCATAATCTACTTATTGAATGGCGTTAGGCCTCCGAAATAGGGAGAGAGGGTTCCCATTCCTGTGTCTTACAGTCAGCTTGCACAGGTGAATGTGCCGTGCATTTTACTAAAGAGACTTTCCGGAAGAAAATTAAGTTAAGTCGACTTATTGGAACCCTGCCCCTAGATCAACTGTAAGGCCGTCGGCAGAGTATGGCAGCGCGTGGTATGTTCGCCACGTTTATTGGTCCCGGTATCATTATATCGGTTAAATTTGGCGTTGGCATCTAACCCTAACCATTACGAAGGCTGATAAGCCCTTTTACTATTAAAGTATAACTCACTCGTCTACCTAATATATTTAAGTAGCGAGCAAGGATTACTTTTTAAGTAAATTGCCGCTGTGACAACTCTTTTCAGGGATACCGGAGGTGTTGGCCCCTAGCCTACAACTTGCTGAAATTAGTACCTACCTTGATGCACTCGTGTCTCAACACTACGACCGAGAATCATCAATTACGTTGCGCCTGTTTATTTTGAAGAAATAACAGTCTTGCAGTTTTATATTTTATGAAAATATAGACTAAGTGTAGAACCTAATAGTCTCTTTTGGCAACTGAGGAGTTTGTATTCTGTTTTTCAGGACTGCAAATGCTCACATGTGTCATTTGTAGTAAGGCCTTTAGACACAAACGGAGTCTAAAGAGGCATGCTGAGCGTAGCCACAATCGTACGTTTTGCTTTGCCTATTTATTTTTCATCGTCGATTTTCATTGAAGTGAGTGTTACGTTGCGTTAGCTTTTTTTTCACACGGTGCTCCTCTCGCTCCCATTTGATGACTGTTCGGTACTGCTAATGACACGTATTAATTTGTATTGTCGTTTTGAATGGGGATGTTTAGGGGTTAGTTAGGGAGGCGGGAAAAAAGTACTCTTTCGGAAAATAAATGACCTTAACCGATGTCCCGGAACTGTGCTTTTCACGCCCGCCCTCAAATGAGCCAGACCAGCTCAGGTGAGTCACACGCCTTAAAGTTCGTCGCTTGGACGTCGCGTGGTCTACTCTCGGTTGGCCGTCCCCTGTGGACCACCACCACCTTCCCGAAACGACTGGCGCTTGAATTGGCTGTTAGGGCGAAGTATAGAGACTCCCCTCTCAGAAGAAAGGGATTGAACGCAAGGATGCCCTGCTGGGGCGGTGGAAATAGGGGGGCTTTCGGGTGCAGTCATCTCCAAAATGATATCTCTTAACGGAAAATTACCCGAAACCATACAACCACTCAGTGTCCAAAACACTTGCAAAATACCAGCAATTATTTACCAAGAAGGCAAAGTACTTACAAAATTACTAATCAATGACAAATCTGATAATTTTTTCGAAACGCAATCTGTACAACTACTAAAATCGCGGAAAGCGAAAAATAAAAAATGATTGCGAAAGTGACGGCAAATAAGTGCTGTATGCGACTGGGTGTACGTGTTGTAATTGGATATCTGATGCAGTGTCTACCTCACAGTATTCTTACCCCCCTCCACGAAGCAAGATGGAGTCCCAAGGATTGATGATGTGCGCCTGCACGGTAACCCAAAACGGGGGGACAGAAATGTTATCGGGCATGATGAGAACAGCTTTTAAAAAGCCGGAACACTAATTAGCCCACTGCCGATAGAAGCGAAAAGGCGATTCCCAGGAAGCAGTTCAGAAGAAGAAGATTCGATCACCGGAGCAACAACTTTATTCGCCTGGTGTTTCGGATTCTCACTCGAACCCATTATCAGAGACGGTCGCAGATATGGGTTCGAGTGAGAATCCGAAAGGTCAGGTCAATAAACTTCTTGTTCAAGTGATCGCATTTTCTTCTTCTTTTGAGTTAGCCCGCTATTGACTATCAGGAAGCCTAGAAAAGCTCTTGTTAACAAGAAAAGCAAGATGATTCACGTCAGGTTGGTCCTTTTTGATTTATCCGAACAATCCATGTCCTTTAGCCAGGTTTTGCCGAAATACAGTTTGGTAAAAAAAAGTGGTAAAAGTCTTATTTTGCTTTAAGAAGCTGCCATCTTTGAATCCGCCGTTCTTCTGATGCAAAGAAAATGGCGGCTAAGCACCCTAAGTCCGCTATTGTTTTTGTGGCGGTCGTTGTATTCAATGTATCCTGACTACTTTTGGGGACGATGTATTGGTGTCTTTGAAACGCGTTGTTTGCAATAAACTATCTAATTAAACTATTTCAGTAGCGTTGGCATAGTAGAAAACGTTGTCCCCAAACAGTATGACTTTTCTAGTCAACACCGGTCAGCGTAAGACCAAAAATGATGCGGTGGGTTTTTTGGGGATGGACTGGTCATCTCACCTTCTTCGCTGCCTTGCGGAGGTTATCGGGCTGTTTAATAGCACGTCAAGGAAGCCAGACCGAAGTTTAAGCACGGGCAACCATTCTTGTTTCTTGTTTTGCAATGTAGGCTACTGTTGTATCCACAGACGATTGGCAAGCGTAGCCATTTGCTACTATCACTTCAACTGCCACAATTGTAAAAAACGGTGATTCCAACGAAATTCGATCGTACAACAGAGTGCAGGACTTGCATATAGCCAACGCCCCACCCAACTGACCTACTAGGCTCCGACCGAGAGCTTTCAGTTTTTATCACATTTGGTCTAAATTTCCCGCAGTTAGTCTGCCTTATCGCATTGATTTTCGCAATTTCGGTAGACGATATTTGGAGCACTGGTTGAGCTGAAGCCATGCTCTTACTGCTCCGAGTTGGAATCACGTTGAGTTTTTCACAGTAGGGTATCCAGTTGAATTATTTAAATCTACCAAATACATGGAAGTGCCTTATTTTGAGTTGTTTTCGATGATAACATGGTAGGACCCCGAGGCGTACAATTGCTTTCTCGCCTCAGTATTTTACTTTTTAACCTACTTTTTTAGAATCCGCTTGTGAATGATGCTTCCTCCTGCCCTGGAACAGTCACTTTGCCCTTACGCCTTTTTGACTTGCATTTCTGTTGGTGGCAGTTTATACTGCATTCAAGATTATGTAAAAGCCCTCCCCTGTCTTTATATTTTTTATTGAACAAAACCAAATAATTAAAACTACTTGTGTCGCTTTTGCTTGGTTTTCTACTGGTGCTGCAAATGGGTGTGACAGAGGACTTTTGAACAAAAATGCGTTGTGTGTGGCTTTGTATAACCTCCGCCGAACCGATCAATGGTTTCTTACAGGAAGTGTTCGAGTGGACCGAATGCCTGAACACCACACCCCACACAAGGAAACTCAGCAGGGGCCGTGGACATCCAACTCCGCCATAGATATAGGTGTGCACGCGTGCCCCCAAGTCCCTATGAAAATGCGAAGACGGGGAAGTTCTCACAGAACGTCGGAATTTGTGTGTTTCCCGACGGCATTAGAAGTTTATTGTCAATATCTCTCCTGAGAACCGGACGGTGCCACCGAGCACTAGTTCACTGACGCGTCCGCCGCTGTCCTTAAGGATCGAACGGCTTAGAAGAATAACGGATAGGGGGCGGTAATTGGTCCACTTATGCGGTTCTTCGACAGACAGTAGCAATGTGTACTCCCTAGAAGCATCTGCGAAAGGCTGGTTGGCGCAACCTTATCCGATCAGTTTTTCCCGTTGCAGAAATCCTCAAAGTCAACGGAGTCTAGCCGGACGTCGATTTTTTGGGGGGACGCATACAAACAGTAGGTCATTCCCAGGTGTCTTCTGTATGCTTCGATGTGTCGCTTCGACTACCACAAATAACCAAGTCCACCGCTGTCCATGGAGGTGACCGCAGCACCAGTCACTTCTGCCTGAATTAGTTTGTAGTGAGGCAGGCTAGCGCCTCACCTGCGGCCACCTTGCTCCGTTAACAAGCTGATCAGGATGGCCAGAGGTGGGCAGGACGACGGTGCTTGACAAAGCCGTTTGAACCGTCTGGGTCATGCCACAGACGGGACACCCTCTCTGCCCCAGAGCTGCCAGAATGTATACGGGCGACTTAAATCTCGCATTGGTGAGAATGCAATAGGCGACACGTTATGAGGGTTCCATTGCCGTTTCACCCTCAGTTCTGCAGGGTACTGAAGGGGACAACTGAATATATAGTCTTTTGTTTTCATTGCTGAAACATGTTAATTTGCCTCATTTACGTAGGCATGTCTGGGGTTAAAATTTACGCAAGTTACTACTGGGTTGGGACTGGGCCTAGGGTTACGTTGGCATCTTGCGCATCCGCTTACTCAATCCAGGCTTAACAATAACTTTGAATTGGCTGTTCTCCTTCTGTTAATACCCTCTTGGTTCGCCTTCAAATTGCGCGGTCTGTTCCGCCACCCTGGAGTGGTAAAACGAACAGGGCGCAAAACGCGAGTTATCTCACTGCTTCCTGCATGTTTCGTTTATTATCGCTTCTATCGTTATTACGGATATAAGTAGTATTAACGTTCTTCCCGTATTGCTGGAGTTTGTGTGCTCTTATTTATCAGTGGTGCTCCATACCTAATCGCTTTCGGACTGATCTGTACCTTCAGTTTTTGGCCGCCCCAGCAACGACCATTTGCCTATTGGGGTAGATTCGAGTACGTCAGATTTACGATGGTTAAGTGGGAATAGATCCCCCAGTATCGGTCCCACTTTAGTCCCTAATTGCCAGCGAGCTCGCCACGAGCTAGCGTATTCGAAAGGGATAATGAGTCCTCCTCGAGCTCGTGATTTGATTGGTCGTTGGGTCGGCTGCGACGGCGTCGCGGAGGACGCAGACGGCTGTGTGTAATTGCACTGGCTTATCGATTGGCTTCGGCGCCCGATAGTACCCATGCTCTCCCCGCCGCCACTTCTAACTTTCTCACGCTGCAGTGCGCACGCCGTGCCCGTCTTGGCGCTCGCATAGCCTACTTGACCCATTTTTTACCTATTTTTTATTTGCCCTTTAGTGACAAGTATGTTGTGTTATGTTAGCAGTCGAAGTCGACGACGTCATGCACGTAGGGAAACAGAAATAGTTATACGAAGAATCAGCGAAAAGGTGAAGGAGATGTCGTTGCCGGACACGCCATCTTCCAGTTCGTCAGACAGCTTCACTGACGATTCTGATTTCCCAACTTCATACGACTACGGAAGCTCTTCTATGTTTGAGTCTCCTCGTGTCTCTACGTACGAGGATGATCAGGCGATGTCAGACGTACGGGAAAAAGAGTCCAGCGTGCGTGAAACTCTGCAGAAGTGGACATTATGCTCACAAACGCCGCAATTCCACCTGAAAGATCTAAAGATTTTGAGACTATTGCTGCCGGATCTGCCATCTGACACACAAAGTCCGCTGGGCGCGGTGCTAGTGTATTAATGCACCAGACAGCCACCTGGGCTTGTGGAGTAACTAATTTTATTGTGCACAAGATGACAGTGCTGGCTAGTCTGCTTAGTCACATTGCACACTACCTACTCTTAAAGGTAGGTTCGGTTGCGGAAAGTGCGGTTTGAATTTTTGATAAATGAGGATAGCATTCTTGGATGTACAACGCAGTGCGACACATTGCCGAAGTTCCTGTTCTCATCAAGGTACCCTTCGTGGGTGATGTCTAACATGTCTATCCGTATTTCAAACATTCTATCCCCTTGCGAGGATTTCGGCCGCTGGTTTTAAATTTGAAGATAAGTGGAATATATTATATTTAGTGGTTTTTCTGTGAGATCTAACGATTTTAGTACCTGTTTTTTTGTTTGAATTTCCTTAAATACAGGCCTTTTCTCTAAGAACTGCCCGCTGCCATCTCCTTTTCGAGTTTTGCTAGTCTATGCCTGTTGTTCACTAATCGCACTTTGCAATTCTCATTTTGTGCATCCGATTTCTCTCTAACTGTGGTAATTTATTTTTACATCGTTAGCGCCTAGCTGAAATTCAGTCAACTTGTCTGCCAGAAGTTTTCTTAATCACAAATTGCCTCGAGACAAGATGAGACCAAAAGTCACTGGTCGACGTAAGCTCTCGGCTCTTGTAAGTAAACATGGCCTAACTAAACGTAAGTCAGAAGCTTTACCTAAATCTAAGTCAGATGATATTACTAGTCAGTCGTCACCCGTTGTAATTGGTCGGCAGCTTAATCTGTCTGCACTTGACCACTGCAATGAATTTATGCTAAAGTTTGGCTCTTTGCTGACAATTCTTGGACATTTATTCGACGGGAACATCTCCGATCTTCCCTCTGAAGAATGTAGGCGTCTCGACTCACTTGTTCACCTGAGCGCCAGTGAATCTAGTGATAGACAGAAGCGTTCTTACAACTTTCTGCTAAAAAATGTTGCTCGATCTGCTCGGCCAATTGATGTTGCGACCAGTTTCCTGTATTCATGTGGTTTCAACTATAAAATAGCTGATGCCAAACGCTTGTCCTCCCGTAGTACAAATCCACCCATCTTAGTCAAAGTGTTTTCATCAATCGAAGTTGACACAATCTTTACTCATCGAGAGCGTGTCACTGCGTACCTAGAAAAGGCAAAATTTTTCCTTTGTCATGATCTTACTCCTATGGAGCGTAGAATGGGGTCTCTTTTCTCACGTAAACCTACTGCTTCTCAGTCTAATGCTCCCCAACTCGGTCATAATACAAGTGGCCGTAAGGATTCAGCTTCTCCTACTCCTGCGACATCTGACTCCCTCCTTCCTCTTTCTCCTACATCTCCATCTCACTCAAGCCACTTGACGCATTTGCCTGCCCCTAAACTTGCAGCAGCAGCAGCAGCCCCATTTGTCGTTTCGTATCCTCCGGATAGTCCCGCTGAGACACATGAAAATCCGTCTACATCAGCTAGACCGATAACTTCTATTGTCCAACTGGGTGCTGTAAGGTCTACAGCTAAGTCACCTGTGGTTTGGCGTCAGAACGGTGAGACTCGAAAATTGAATCAGACTCCGACCCAATAGATAGGTAGTACAGTTCCGTTTAGGGGTACGACGCCTTCTCTTAGATCTAACAAGTCTGTTCAGCCCAGCACGTCTACAAACCCCGCAGCTCCAATTATATCCTCGAATAATTCTCTGTCCTGCGTACCGGTTACTTATCAAAGCCCTACTATATATCCAGCAAATAAATCATACATGAATTGCCCTAAATCATTTATGCCCCAACCTAGTTCAGGCTTCCCACCACTTAAGGCCAATTGCTCTCAGGTACGTCAACCTATCTCCTTTGACTTCCAATCTAGACCTGGTTTCCCACCATTTCATTCTTTTAGTGGCCTACCCTCACCCATTAGCCCCTACTTTCCTTCTAGCCTCCCTCCTCCTCCTCCTCCTCCCCTTCCTCCATTATTTAACTACCAACAAGTCTATCCATGTTCTAACTCCCCTAGCATTTCAATGTTTGAAAACTATGTCCCCACCTCCTTTAGGTCTCATACTCAGCCTTCTCTTGCTGTATCCCCGTACGTCAATAACTCTAGATTAACTGGTACTTGTTCTCCAAGTGTCATTAATTCACAGCGTACACATCCGTCTCCAAATTTTTTTTAAAAACCGTCAAAAATAGCATTGCCGTTCGAAACACATTAGATATTATATTGTTGAATGCCAGGCCTGTTATAAACCAGATGGCCCAAATCAGAGCCATTGCTCTGGAAATGACGCCTGATATTATATGTGTAACAGAATCTTGGACACATTCTCTAATTCCTGACTCTGCCCTTCTCATAGATGACTTCGATTTTTACCGCCAAGACCGCACGACTAGGCGTGGGGGTGGTTGTCTTCTTTATCTACCTAAAGCACTCTCCCTATTACTTGGATGTTTCCTCATTCACGGGAAACTTCTGCTTTGCATCTGTTATTCTCTCGCCGCAAAGCAAGGCAATTATTGGCTGTATCTACTATCCCCCAAATTCTTTAGCCAGTGATGATTCACAACTCTGTGAAATCTTTAAATTAATTTCGGAAGCTGCTTTCGATG